CTTCCTTCCTTCCTTCCTTCCTTCCTTCCTTCCTTCCTTCCTTCCTTTCCTCTCAGGATGGTTTGGGTGGGGTCTGCATGCTAGACGTCCTTTCTTTGGCTGTCCGTGTCCATGGCAGCTCCTGCAGAATTGAATTGCTCCTTGTGTGTCCATTTGTCCTCTGAAGAATTTAAGGCCATGTCCTGAACACATTTCACTGCTTTTTTGTATACAAGCCTCGGCCTCAGTTTCATTTTCGTAGCATCCTGTTGGGGTAAGTTGGATGGGAAGCGCCCAAGGGACTCTCAGAATAGAGGAAGGCCACCTGGGGACCTCCTGGGCCATCTTTTCAGAGGCAGTTCCTTACCTGAGCAGAGAAACACAACCGAAGGACTGAGCTGGTCTTCTGAAGGCATCCGGGGACTTCGGGCTCAGTGCAGGAGGCTCCCCTCCTTTTCAGGGCCGGAGGGAAAAAAGGGGGGGGGGGGGCTTTTCCCTAAGAGAAGGGGAGCGGAGGCTAGTTTTCCGGCTCCTTCGTCGTGGTGTGTCCGTGCAACATCCCCTAAGACTGCACCCGTCAGCCCGATGGCCCTTTCGCCCCAACCAAAGCCCTCCCCCACCGACTTTTGGGCAGACGGAGCCCTCCCGCCTGGAGGCTGGCCGGCCAGCTGACCTTCTGTGGTTGGTGTCCAGCTCCTGAGGCATCTGGGAGGGTTTCTCCAAGGAGACAAAAGGTCCACTTGGAACAAGCAGGTTCTCATTGGACTCTTTCTGGGCTTTGGGCTCCTTTGAAACTTACGGAAACGCCTCCCGGGGACTCACAGATAGAGAGAGAATCGCCGCCCTGGGGCATTTCATCCCTTCTCACCCCTCGTTATACAGTGAAGATTCTCCCTTTTATAGACGAACTTTCCTTCTGAAGAAGAATAGTCTTGTTTCACATTCATATCAAATGGTACACTTTCTCTCCCTGAACTCCAGCAGAAATGCAGGAGCCTCGCTCCCAACTTTGTCCACCCAAGAGAGATCTCCGTCTCTTTCCATTCTACTAAATGGCGTTTGGGACCATGGGGGAAAGTAAGGGTTAAACTCTCGCCCCACAAGGGTTCCCCAAAGAACAAGCATGAGAGTCCCCCCCCACGAGGACTTCATGGGGTGGAGGCTTTATTAGGGGCCTTCGTGACTTCAGCCAGGGGCCTAAAAACCCTCCTTCCAGATGCTGACCTTTCTTGGAATCGGTAGAGAGCGGCTCCTTACTCCCCCGAAGCCCAAAGGCTGCCTGAACTTCCCTTCTGTCTCCCCTTTTTCATTCGGGTGCACATTGTAATATGCAGATTTTCACGAATAATTTCACTGCAAAATACCCAGAGGTCTTGGGGGTTATGGCTAGTTAAGTTTAATGAGGGAAAGAGGAAGGGCTGGAGGTTGTGTTAGCTGTTCTTCTTTGCATCTCTAGATGGTGTGTTTCCAGCTGCAGATGTGCTTTGCAATGCCATCACATGGCAACTTCTGGGGTGGAAGCGAGCACAGCTACAGTCTAGGCTGTAAATCATCACGCTGTTTTACAGCAGTGTCCATCATGGCTACATTTTACTGTATTGCTGTCTTAGTTTAACCCCCTGTTCAAAGCAGGAAGCAGACTTTTCTTCTTAAATTCCTGTTCACTCCCCCAGTGCCTTAAATTGTCAGCCATAGGATTATCTTGGGCCACTATTTTGCTTGAGTTGAATAGGCTGAATGCCCCGCAGTTGGAGACGTCCAACGTTCCGGGCTTGGAAGGGTGCAGGCGACGTGTAAGATTTCCTCGTGGTTGACGTTTTGAGCTCTTTCTTCAGCTGTTCGAACTTGTCCGTGGTAACCCAGGACGCAGAATGAGAATGGCCCAGCCTCAGACTTCTGCTTGGAAAACGGCCTTTGGAAAACTCGTATCTTCCACGTTCAGTTATTATATGTAGTTGAGAATTGTATGTGCACAACGATTCTGAACCTCCTGTGTGTTTCTTCATATTTTCAATCAAATTATTACATACTGGAAATATGCATAAGGGAAATTATTCTACACATTTTATGGTGTGCCGTTGCTTGTAGCAGTAATTGAAGTACCTTTTCCACTTATGAAAGTACTAATTTTATTTGCTTTTATTGCTTTTCTAGATGCAATTATTTATTTAGTGTGTTTTGGCTTTATTAAATTATGTTTACTATAGGAACATCATAAAAATGTATGAAAGTAACACATCAGCCAGGGCTGCCCAGTGACCTGTATTGGAAGAATCGAGGGTTATTTTTCATATCCAAACTTAATAGAATAAAGAAGGAATAAAGATATAATCTACCCAAGAAAACAATGCAATTTCCAGATAACGTAATAATACACCTGGACGATGTAATTTCATAAATCTTAGCTCTAAAATTTACATGAGCCAGGTGTTGCTGTGCCCTTTCAGAATTCATCATGCTTCGGCTGGAATTTGAATGAGAATTATAACTAAAGGCCAGCTTTATTGGATGGGAAGGAGCAGAAACGCCTCCCAGGGGGAAGGGCTAAATTGGCTAATGGGCTCCAGGCCCCGGAGCTGGGCTTCAGAGGCTGCCGGGGCGCCTACTGGGGGGGGGGCTCTTTCCCACAGAGGCAGCCGGTGCCTTGGGCTTCGGTCTGCAAGGAGAGGCTCCCAGGAGGGGCGAAGGGGAAGCCCAGCCCGGTGTTTTAGTAGCTGGTCCCACCTGCGGTGGGGAAGGCCTGTTGGGGGGCATTTGGGGGGGTGATGTCCGTGCTGAAGGGCAGCCAGTCCCCCCTCGGCTGGCGGATTCAGGCGGCCCTTCTGTTTTGCAGCTGAAGGGCAGGGAGGAGAACCTGACCTACGCCGAGCTGGAGCTGCTGAAGCCTCACCAGGAAGTGGCAGGTGCCTCAGCCGCCACCGTCTACGCCCAGATCCTCTTCCAGGAAAACAGCCTGTGAAGGAAGCGGGGTGGGGGGGGAAATGATGGGGGGTGGCAAGGACTGAATCAAGGACTACCTACCAGCTGAAGGCACCACCCTCCTCCTCCTCCTCCTGCTGCTAGTGGCGGTTCTGCCGCCTTTTCAGTTGGAAGAGAATTTGAAACATTCTCAGGAAAAAAAGTAACCCCTTTCCTTTGGATGATTGGCATGTTAAACTTTTTTAAAAACTGGAGGAATAAGGATTAATAGAAAACTGGAAGTTACACTCTGCCTTTGCATCAGAACTTGATCATGGGAATATGAAATGTTTTGTTGGCTGGGAAATGGCTCACAGTTGAGGTTGAAGATGAATGTGGCTATAGAACAATTTTACAGACCCAGGATTTTTTCAAAAGATTTCTAGGCATGTAAGAAATGTACATTGGTTCCTTTTCCATGTTATTAAGACCATGAAAATGTATTTTTGAATAAATAATTTTTTTCAATTTAAAAAAAGGCTGATTTCTTAAGTTTTATTGCATAAAATGGTAGCAAAGAGTCCTGCAGTGTGCGGGCAGTTGTGCTTGGTGAGCTGTTCGCTGCTTTCCAACTCTCACAGCTTCTCTGATCTGTGTATAGAAGGGGAGGCTTTCCTCCGGCTGCCCTCCGTGGTGCTGGGCTCCTCCAGATGTAAAGCAGCTCTGCTTCTTTCCAGCCAGCCTCTTGGCCACGACCACCAGCCGAACGGTTGGTCTCAGGGCCCCTTGTGGTTTCCTTTGGCCTTGACAGACTGGCCTTCAAACTCCACCCGTCCCTTCGGTTCATGTCTTTGGCCACTTGGCAGCCCTTGGGACCTCTTTAAAATAAAAACAGAATTGCTTTGATTGCCAGAAAGAGAACAGCCCATTTTCCCTCTGCGTAGATATAAAACTAGCTTCTACGTGGGAAGTGAACATGTATTTTCAACCGGATGTTAAAATAGGGTTGACGGTCAGTTTTTAAACTACGGTCCCTGCGCAGTAGACCCAAATGTGTGATTCAATACAACTTTAAGAACTTTTATGATAATAATCACTATATCAAACTAACTAAAAGGAGAGGAAAAAAATATGCTGGGAAGTGTCAGAAATAAAACAACCAGAAATTTGACTAAGTCCAAAGTGGTCTCCTTTTCCCTTTGCTGTGAGAACTATCCTTCTGGGTTCAGTTCCAAGTGGGGAAGAAAGACGCTGGATTCACGGAAGTTGCTTGGAAAGAAGGTTTAATGGTGGACAGGACCACATGCCTTGGAGCTCCTCCCATCCACAGAAGGGATGCTGAGGATCCCTTGGTTTGGATCCCTCTCTGTTGGGCTCCACCTTAGTGTTTCCCGTTCCTGTGTAAGAAATTTATCCCATTGGCTGTCAGGCTCCCAGGGGTGGAGGTCTTAGCGTTGTAGGCTTTGTCTGGACCACAGGGCTTCACCTGAGTGCTGGCTGATGCAGTCTTCCCAGGTGCCAGGTGGTGAGATGGGCAATCCTATCATTTCCTGAGGGCCAGGTCTTAATCCCATCACCCTGGAACTGAAGGGGGGCAGGGGGCGGGGTGCAGGGAGCCGCAGGAAGCTGCTTTGTCTTTAAAACATGTTTCTCCTTTTCTTCATCCAGGGAAATATATTCTGCCTTTTTAATATTTCCTATAATATTTCATTCTTCTAGGAGAGGGGTGGGTGCTAACTTTCTACAGTTGAAAATAGACAAAATGTCGGCAAACGGCCCTTAACACTGTCCATTTTTCAGGTCCAATTCTGTCCATATTTGTTCTTCCAGCCTTGCACAGTAATTTGGCAAACTCAGCCAACTTAATGGAGGAAATTGGGAGGGGGGGGGAGTGTTGACCCAATGCTGGGGTTTGGTTTTCTTGGACTTCAAAGAAATGGATATTGGAGTCAAATTCCATGTCAGAAGGAACCAGGGGACCAGGATCTGAAAGAGGGGTGGGAGGTCCAAGAAAACACATGTTGAACTGCAGACCCAGTGAAGAAAACTAAATAAGGAGGCAGTAAAAGTAACTTAGTGAAAGGGAAATACTTTGGAGCTGATGAAGCTGAGCAAAAACTGAGTGAGCCGAAGGGATGCTAAGAATACAAAATGGCCTCCTGCAGTCAAAAGGAAAATAGAATAGTTTCTGCTCAAAAAGGACAAGATGCAAGTTGTTAAGTGAAAAAGAAGAAGCAGAATTGCTTGAGTGAATTTATTTGTGAACATTTGTCAAGAGGAGGAAATGAGGCATGTTGGAGATGAGCTTGAAAAGACACAAGACACCCCAAAGTGCGGCTTGTGTGACAGAACTGCCTGCTCAGCATTTGGCAAAAGAAGGAAAATGCGGAGGTCTCTGGCCTAGTTCTCTCTTGACCCCCAACATGCAGAGATGCCCGTGGGGGTCACATCCTGCAGTTGGAAATGGTCAATCGGCACAGATCAATTTCAGGAGCACTTTATCTGATCAATGTCCGATTTTAAAATGGAATCAGCCGGGCGGAGGTGTAGAGGGGAAACCTGGCAGAACCAAAATTATGAAAAAGGGAAACCTGTAAATATATATCACAGGAATTAACCTGTCAAAATATATAATTTCAATATTGACATGTATATTGTCCACACATACAGATGAAATTCAATCTTGCAAATCATGGATGGATGGATAGATCTTCTAAAGTAACTTGAGTTCACCCGTCCTACTGCTGTGTAATTTATCCTTCCAAAATAGTCGTTCTTTTGATTAATGCCAAAAAGTATGAAAGTAATAGTAATTGATCACATGTATTACGTAAAACAGAAAATAACAAATACAGGTAAAGATGTAGGGGAAAAAAGAACATATAATCTCTGGTATTAGTGACATTTAAAAGGCCAGCAGCTCACATAGTAGCCTCTACACTGGACCCATCCAAGCAATGAATTAAAAACTGGTCTCGGAGTAACTTAGGAATGCTTTCAGGGAAGTTTCATAGATTTACAAAATTTTCAGTAGTATAATTACACATTTTGCAGATTCAACATCATCAAGCTTGCTGGATGACCTAACAGGATATTTAATTTATATTGGGAAAGCCTAACTCTTTCGGACCTTGACTAAATCCCCCGGGGGCCCATCCTTCAAGATGCCACTGTCTCTTGCTCAACTTTCAGCTTGCAAATCCCTGTTTACAAGTGTTACCTACATGCCCTTCAGGTTTCTGTCACTTTTTAGGAAGGTGGGGTGTTTTTCTTGTAAGTTGAGGAGGATCCAGCAATTGGTTTGGTGTACCTGATGCCAGAGCGTACTCTATTTACTTATTTTAAGGGTCAGCAAACAATGATCCAACTTCAACCATTTAATTAACAATATTTGTGAGCTAGCGAGATATTTCTGCTGTCCTTGTGGTCTTCAGGCAGATTCTTTGCAAATAAACAGGGCAAGAAGTTTTGGCCCAGATTTTGTTTTGAAATGCATCCTGCCCTAGAAAAAGAGGGGGGAAAGAGAACTTACGAGCAATGGGTAGATAGAGCTGCAGGAAGACAAAACATTGGGGGGTGTGTGTGTGTGTGCGCGCTGTCAGTTTATGCATAGGATAATTGGGCCATGCAGCAATCAAATCTTCAGTGTGGTCATTCCCCAGCAGACCATCGCATAATCAACTCAACAATTTGATAAGATCAGAGAAAAGCTACTCTGTTCAGGTTTCTCTGAGCAGCGCAACTTTGTAGTGTTCCAAAGGTGTATTTTGTTCTTTTAGGGGAATCCTCCTCTGCCTTTACTTCACGCCGCGCGCCGGTTCCTTCCTCCAAGGGGGTTGGGTGGGGGGGGCAGGCAAAAAGACGCAGACAGACAGAGAGGCTGTTTTGCCATCAGCAGAATTGAACCACCTTTGGTGGGTGTTTTTCCCATCAGCCAATCACACGCCGAAGTGGGAGGGAACAGAAACAGGATTCAACCAATTTCGTGTCTGATGTCAGCACGGCCCCATGGGGCTGGGGTCGAGCGCGGGGGGAGGGAGGCCCTTAGCTGAGTGGGGGGGGGAGAAGGCCCAAGTCAGGGGTCAGGTGAGAAGGTGGCGGCAGAGCCCCCCTGCCTTCCTTCCAGGCTCCACTCAAGCCCAGGCCGGGCAGGCGACCCCTCTCCCTCCTCCGGCCAAGTTGTGCGATGGCTGGCCCCGTGTGGAAGTGGGACCAGGTCTCCTGACTCCGCCCACAGGGACCCTCCAGTCCTTCTGCCCCCCCCCCCAGAAAACCCCCCTGGACAGCCGCGTGTTTAAACAGCCTTAGAAGACTAGATGGGGGGGGGCGGGGGGGGAGGCTCCTCTAGGCGAGCTCAGCCGTCGGCGGGACTGCTGCGTTGTGCTGCGCTGTGCCCATCCTTGCGCTCCCAGTCCGGCCCTTACGGTTACTCTTGTGTGTCCCGCCGTTGAGCGAGTTCAGCCTTGGACACCTTTTCTCGCTAAATGCGGCCTGGTCTTCCACATTAAATGTTACCGCCACCTGCAAACATCCTCAATCACATCCGTATGGCCGCTTACAAGCGTGTGCGCGCACTGCGGGAGACAGGAGGTATCCCTGCCATAAAAACTACGCTGCGGTGCAACTGTCTAATAGGTTCATTAGGCGCGGGAGCCGTTTTGAGGTCGATGTAAGTGTATTTATTCATTTATTAGATAACTGTAATAATAGTCTCCTTAGGGTTGCCTCTATTAACTTACAGCAAGCTAGTATCTTATGAAACAGGATTCAGAATTCACCCAGTTAAATGTGGAGTTTATTTTCCTTGTCCATGTTGATATAGTTTTCCCATATTATATATCTAAGGAGTGAATTATACCCATTCAAAATGGGCATAATTATACTATTTGTAGTATAATAGTCGATACCATGAGCAAGGATAGGATTCTGCAAGAAACCTAACAATAAATTGGACCTGTCCTCTCAGATTGTTGATCCTAATCATTTATTATGGATAAAATCAGCTGTAAAAATAATGCAAAAAAGGCTGGGTATTTTTGCGCATATAAAGGCCAGCCTGAGGGAGAAGGTGCGGAGGCAGAGAACTTTTCAGCATTTAGGGACTGACTGATCAGGTCAAGCCAAGGCAAAATCCTGGGAACTCTGTTTAGCCCCACTCTCAGAATAGGATCATTTTAGGTAATGTGTTTTGCCAGTAAAATCACATTCTGAAGGGTCTGTGGTATCTTCACAGACTGTGATAGTTGGGTTGGTGTCTCGTAATACCATACCTCATCGTTCTTGTACAGGCAGCCCCTGGACCACTTCAAGATGCCTCCTGGCTTTGAGGACACCGGGGTCATCTCTGGATGGAGGCCACCAGCTCTGTGTAGGTGAAGTGGCCTCCCCAGAAAAGTCCCACAGGGGTTAAACAAAGGGGAGACAAATGGCTGCGCCTCGGCTAAGGGAAGCCCCATCCCGGAGAGGTTAAGCTAGGAAGTTGCACCTCTGACACCTTTCACCTTCTCCAGCAAGACAGGAAGAAGGCCAATCCAAGCGCTAGAAATCTCAACGGGGCCACGTTTCCTATCTCCTTCCAGGGAAAGGCCATTCATCTTAGGGCCAAAGCCGTGGCCGTGCAAAATGCAGGTGTAAAAATTGGTAGAAAGATTTGACATCATCTATTTTATCCACGTTAGTTCTGTTGCTGCACCACCATCTTCCCCAGCTTGTCTAAATATAGAATAGTGGACACCAATCACCAGTTGTTAACATTGGCCGGATGGTAATGGCTTCTTAAATCAGGTAAGCGGCCACAGGAGTCCTGGCCAAAGAAACATTTCTTGCCATTTGCTAAGGAGGAGGAATCCGTTCTACCTGGCCACCTGGGGGGGGGGTCCCTGAGGGGGAGGGCCAGCCACTTGCAAGGAGGTCAGCAGGCCCAGAAAGGCTTCTGAACCCAGTCCATAAATAAAGTGCCCATGGTAAACAACGGGGACGAGGCGCCCCCATTCAGACAGCATGATTTGCAAAATAAAACTCTCAATCAATAGGAGCATTGCACGACATACGTATCTGAGGTGGGATGCCATGAATTCAGAGGAAAAGATTCCCCAGAACTGGAAGTCGGACATCAACTCAGCATGTCCGCTCAAGCAAGAAGGTGGTTAGTCAAGGCACAGGCCTCCCACAGCACAGGCTCTCGTTTGCTCCCATCCACACCTGGGACTCAAACGGACCCAGCTGTTGGGGAGGCAAAGAAAGCGGGAAGGGGGTTAAAAGGGTGGTGGAGATGGCAATAGGGCCTCCCCAGACACCAACTCCGTTTTCTCTTCTGGTTCTCCACGTCCAATGGCAGGACAATTAGGGCTGAGGTGCTGCTGACCGACCAACCAGGATCCCCCCCCCCCAATATTAGGCCTGGAAGTGGAGAGGAAGGCTGCACCCAGTCTGGCCCTCACCTGGTCTCCTAATTTGGGGGGGGGGGGGTGAGGCCTGCATTCTTCAGCTGCTGTAAGGCCCCGGGAGCTCCCGGCCTTTCCACTCCTGGCCAAGGCAGGAGGAATCTCTTTGACCCTGGGGGCGTCATCAACCACCAGCTGCTGTCGGTGCCTTTTCGGTGCAAAGAGCAGAGCCCTGGTTCCCCCACCGGCAGCCCTCCTGCGCCCAGAGCCAGAGGGCAGGGCATCTACTAATAACATCTACCTTCCAGGTGTAACGTGGGAAGTGGCTCCTGGCTGTCCTAGCCGTGGCCCCTCCTCACCCTCCTTTGGAAAGACCCACTTTGCCCTCAGGAGGCGGCCACGCTCGGCTTCTGCACCCGGTGCTCCTGCTCCGCCATCCGGCAGAGGATCCGGCTGCCACAAGGACACGCGGACAGGGGGCGGCTGTCTCCTCGCAGACACCAAAGCCTGTTTTGGGGGGATCTGTGCCTGTCTTCCAACTACCCAGCTCGGCTGCCCCCTCAGTGGCGGGGCTGGAAGGAGAGCCGGCCAAGGAGGACAGCTCCTGCCTGCAGGAGGAGGGAGCCAAAGGCCTTCCTATCTCTCTCCATAAAAAATAACATTAATTGGCATGCTCTGCCATTTCCTGAACAACCCATAATTAGGTTAGATAAGAAACTAGCAGTGTCTAAGAGCTATAAATGTCTAAATTAAGTTATTTTGAAAGTGCCCAGCACTTTGGCATTTTGAGAGTTCACAGTAATTGCGGTATTGAGATCAAATTGCTTCTGTTATTTAAAAGGTCATTATCTTCTTCACTTAGATAGATGGAAACTATTTTCCACTCTAGTGAACCGTTGTGTTTGGGACAATTAGGCAGGCTCCAGTAGATTTCCCCCAGCCCGACTCCCACTGATCACAGCTCAGGCCGTGACACACAGAAACGCTGGGAGAGAGAGAGAGACGGAGGCAAAGGAGCCACTCTGCATTCCACTCACAGGCCAAGACCACCACCCGACCGACCGGGATTTCCAGGCGGAGGGAGGAGAGGCTAAGTAACCCCGGGCAGCTGTGGAAAGATGCAGGTCAGCGGCTGGCTGGTTGGCTGGCTGCTCAGCCCTTGTCCCGCTCCAGAAGAACAGCCAGGAAAGCAGGGACCAGCTGGCAGCTGTCACGCTTGGCCTCCCAGTCCTCCGTGGGGAGACGGAGTCGAGGGGGCTCCCAGGGCCACAACTGTCTCAGCAGGGCTCCAGGGAGATCCAGCAAGGAGGCCCGGAGTGAGCGAATGCGAGAATGCAGCCGAGGACCCAGGACAAACGGGGTGGGGGGGGGGGGGGGGGGAGAAGAGGCAGGCACAACCTGCAGGAGTGTCCCTGACTTCTGACACAGGAGCCTTGCTGGCAGTCTAAGGATCAAGCTGGACACCTGCCTGCGGGCGGACTGCAGAGAGACACCTCATGGCCAGAGCCCAAATCCACACCAGGGGCCAGAGATTAAAAACAAACAACCCCCCCCCCCAACACGATGCATATCGGGTGGCCCCTTGAGGTGAGGTCGCAGCCTGGCTTCTTCTCTGGGCCTCTGGGGTGCCTGGGTGGCAGAAGGAGCCCCCGTTGGCTTTCCCTTCTGTGGACTATCGCAATGAACAGCTGTCGCTCAACCTTCTTTTTGCTGACAAGGCCATCCAGTCATCTACAGGCTGGCCAAATCAGACTTGGTGAGCTCAGTTTATTTTCCGTAGCCAAAATAGCAACCGCGCAGCCTCTACCGAGAATCTCCTAGGGAAAAGCACCGCATCAAGCGCTAAACGCAGGTGCAGCTACCCCTGGGAGCTGAAGTGGGCTTGGCTGCGCAGAGAAAAGGAAAGGTCAAGACCGAAGTAAGGGCAACCCCAGAACCCCAAGGGTGGCTTTCCCGTCTCTCTCATCATTCCCAAGAACCATTCTGGTGCAATTCACTTCGGTTTCTGCTTCTGGTCCAGCAGACCGGAGTCAACTCAGACCGGCTCCTGGGCAAGCAGAGCAGCCACTCTGGTTGCTATTAGTCAGAGAAGAAAAAAGGCTGAGTGGAAAACTTTAATTCCTCCACACAAACTCAGCAGGGTCTCGGTCAACATCTGTGGTTGTGTGGCCCCTTTTTTTTTAAGGGAGGGACAAAAGAAACTGCCAGAAATTCAGATATCAGGATGAATCCTGTGAAACTTAATCCTCCATTGCTAAAGTTTCAGGAAAGCAAAAATATTGATAATAAATAAGACCCAGAGTTATTCAATAATATTTAGGTAATACTAGTTGAGCTGAGCATTTTCATAGATTAATTTGTTCCTTGGTGCTGGGGAGGGCAGAAAGAGGCTTTCAAAGATCGGAGAATTTTCGCCCCTGTCTCAGTTGCCAGTTCATCTCCGGAGAAATCGGCCCCCAGATCCCCTGGGCCTGGGCCCTTCTGAAAACTCCAGTGGGAACTTGCTACCTCAGCCTGGCAAGGCCCCAGGGGGAGAGGCTTTGGGGCCAAATAGTCCTGAACATTTCTCCCATCTGCCCTGCCCAAGGTAATCATTTCTCGACTCAGGTGAGTCAGATCCATCCCATCCTTGACTCAGCTAAGGAGCTTTTGCTGGGATTTACATTTACACTGTACTTCTTCCTTCTATTCATCAATTGACCAACAGATGATCTTCCCGTCCTCATTGCCGGCCAGAAGCTTGGAATAATTCCTAGGGAGGAAGTAGAGACAGAAGAAAAAAAAAGAGTTTTAGGAGTAATATGGCTGAGAGCACTGCAATCGCCTGGGACGCTTCTGCCCAAAATCATTACTACAGTGGGAGGACGATGCCATCCATGACACTTTAAAGTCAGATCCATATTTGAAGACCTCTGGAGCAGCTTTGGAAGAAATGCTAACTGAAATAATCTTTAGATTGTAGTATCTCCCCTCTGTTCTTCAATACTTAGTCATATATTTTAATCCAGTCCATCTTGAAAATACTTATTTGGTAAGAGGTTAACCAGAGACGCAGCTCAGAGGTGCTAACCTTTCTGTAGAAATGGGGGACTCCCGACTTTACAGGAGAGTATTGTGTTTGCATTCTGGTGTTTTCATGAGGTCTCATAATATCACAGTCCATTTGTGTTTCTTTGAAAAACTGTTTTCACCCTGACCGTGATCAAGGACTTCCAGGCTACCAGGCTCACCTTTGGGGAGTTGTTTTGTTTTGTGTTGATAGCATATTTGCATTTAAGAAGAAACTAGTAGGCTCAGATTATTTGGGTGCTGTGGCTCCTAGAATGGAAACAGTACAGTAGGACGTGGCTGCGTTCTAAAGGGGCTCCCTTTAGGTCAACTAACACTTTATGCCTTAATTTGGAGATAGCTGATTGATTTTGAAAAGGCTAAATAAGGCCAGCTCTGTTTAGCATTTGAAATCAGGTCTAAATCAGGTTACAGGCTAGACTGGGGAAAGATAATGAAAAATTATACACAGAAAATACCAGAGACCAATTGTTAGGCTTAAGCACAAACATAAAAATTCAAAAATCACCACCACCCCACAACATCTCTGCCGAAACGTTGTTTTCCCTACTATGGCCGAGATCCCTGCTAGGTGGAAGCAGATTTCTCCCTCCCCGTCCCCCCCCCCCCAGGGTCCCTGGGGATCCCAGCCAGCGAATCCGGAGGCTGCTGGGCCGCTGGAAGGAGCCGGCCTCTCCCCTCTGCCTTGGCTCCCCCCGGGGGCTGCCCGGGTGGCCGGATGCATCCATTAAGCGGGTCAAGAAGAGGTGGGAGCTGGGATGCGGGCCGATTGACTGACTCCCTTGGGAAGTTCAACGGTACTTTCCCTCCTGCTCTACAACCCCCGTTTTTGCTTTGCAGCTAAAAAGGCAGCAACGCTTAAAGGCCTCCCGGTCAGGGCGGGTAGTTCTCTCACCCGTCAGAGGGGCATCTTCTCTTGCTTGCTGCAAGAGGCCACGGGAGGCCCTAGGTGGACCCCTCGGCTCCTTCCCTATTCCTACCCAAACTGCGGGAGACGACGGGGCCGTTGGATGGCGGCTGTGGGCGGTGGACAGGCTCTGCGGCGGTGGGGCTGGCTGGGCCCTACTGGGCAGCCCCCGCTTCCCACTTGCGGCCGGCGGGGGAGAAACAACGGCGGCTTCCCCGCCGGAGCCGCCGAGGGTGCAGCTCGCCCGCCCTCTAGCGAGCTGACCGGGTACTGCAGGGGGAAGGCTTACCTGGACGCCGCCAGGGCTGTGACGGGCGAGGCGGGTCGCGGGGCTCCCTCCGCGGGGCTCGTGGGAAGCAGCAGCTCTCGGTGCAGGACGAAGGCCGCTTTCTCCGCTCGGCCGCCTGCCGGGAGGATGGGAAGGGAACGTGAGATGGTTCGTTTTGGAGATGAGAAGATACTGTGATTTATAACCCGTTAACCGGAGAAGCAACGTGCCTTCATCCCCGCCTGCGTGGCTGCCAGAAGGGCCGGCCGGTCCCGGTTGAATCTTCAGCCCGTGATACGGGGGCTGTACCAATTGCGGCCAAATTGGATTTGTGTATTATTGCTTTCTAAATTGCGTGCCTAGTTCAGCAGAATTCTTCGTCAGCCTTGACTGTTTCAGGGCTTAAGAAGCTGTCCCAGAATCCCTGGCTGTCAGGTTATGATGCAGCCCATAATTGCCCGGTGAAAACACATTGCCTAAAGTCCCGGTTATTGTCAACCTACCTAAATCTGCTCCTTGAACAATCAGTAATTAAATGCCAAGAATACTGTGCAAATAATGTAATTCAATCATGGTTACTTCAGCTTTATATTTAGTGCTCCTGGTTAGGATCATCCTCTTTCCAGTGTTGCAAAACCGAGGGATGGATGCCCGGCCGCGGCTGCTGTCGTTAACAACGGGCGGCCTCCGCAGTGAGGCAAGGCAGAGGCCCGGCAGCTCCCCGCCTGAGCCGATCCTAAACCTTCTGTAGATGCTACGCAGCTGAGGAAATGAGCCTCTTCCGGACAGGGGCTGAACTTGTGCCGCCGCCGCCGCCACTGATGGCTGCGTGTCGGGGCAACTCTTGGCAACCACACAGATAGATTTTCCCCCATGAATCTCCAGCGGACCGTCTGCGTTCGTCCATTCACGTGCTGTGGTGCGCCCATTTGCCTTGCGGAGGGGGGAGGAAACGCCTGCTGGAACGGGTGCGATCAGCTCCCGAACAGGCGTGCGCATGCGTGTTAAATACGCGGCCGCCCAGACCCAGCAGTCCCGGTTGCGTCTGCGGGGCCTCGCTTGAGGCCGCCGCCTTCGGCCCAGGCAGCGCCCCCCCCCCTCCCCCCGCCCCTTCTGCCTTTCCCTCGGCGCGGCGGAGTGGGCGAAACCTGGGCCGAGGGAGCCCCCTGCTGGCCGCTTGCAGGCCGGCAGCCCTCTCCTCTCCTGCTAAGCTTCCCGCGCCTGGTGTTCGCCCTTACCCTGCTGGGCTTGGCGCTTGCCGGCCTCTTCGCTCACCGGCTCCTCTCCCGGCCTCTCTGGGGAAGCGGCCTCGAGCTTCCAGACCTGAAACGTCCAGGAAAACCGGTCACAAGTGCCAATCCGGGGGGGTGGGAGAAAAGGGGGGATTACGTGACTGTGGCCACACTTACGGCCACAGTCACGTAATCGCAATTCAGATGCTTGTCATGCATTTATGACGGCTGCAGCCCCCCCCCCCCCCCCCCCCCCCCCCGTCGCTTTTTCTGACCTTCCTGGCTGGCTTCCAGCAAGCCAGGCCAACAGGGGAAGACGGACTTGCTTAATGACTGGGTGATTCATTTTACAACTGCGGAGAATCACAACAAAGTCGTAAAATGAGGCATGGCTCACTTAACAGCCACCTCGCTTAGCTAGAGGAACTCTGGTCCCAATTATGGCCATAAGTCAAGGACTACCTGTGCTCTGAAGATGGAGGACAGAGAAGGGCCCTGAAGGAAACCTGATTCTCCCTCCCCCCCCCCCATGGGGCTTGGATTCCAAACACATGTAGCCCCCCGAGGAGGGAGACCCCCATTGCGGTCTTCCTGCCTGTCCTTTAAAATAAGAGCTCAGCAAACGAAAGCCCCCCCCCCGGATTTCAGCTGGGTGGGGTGGGGGAGGGGTCTGGCAGGTGGGCCTCTGCACCTTTGCCCGATCAGGGCAGGGATGGTGCCAGGGCGGCCTTGCCTGGTTTCTTCAAAAACTCCTTCCCGAGAAATCAGAAACACTTAAAATGCCCTCCTGATTTTAAACCAGTTCAGTGAGTTAGTAGAAGGAAACGCAACGCAGGCTGAGAACACGCCATTGTGTGGACGTTCAAGGGCAAAACTCTGCATCCTCCTGAGCGGTTCTAACTCAAAACGGTGGGTGGGCTCTTTCGGGAGAGTCGTCCCCACCTGGCACTTGGAGGAGGAGCCCCACCCGACCGACTGGAACTGGGGAGGCGGCCCCCCCCCCCAACATGGCCTTGGTGGGCTGAAAGCAAGCCCCCCCCCCCCCGCTTTCCCCACCTCCTTCCCCCACTGGGGAGGAGGAGTAGGAGGAGGAGGAAGAACGCTCCATCCAGTCTCCCCCAACCATTTCCCCACAGAGACAGCAGCGTCTCCAGGTCACCTTTGGCTTCAGAACCCCCAGCCCCCCCCCCCCGCAGCCCCTCCCCACCTAAAGAAGAGGAGAGCGACAGGGAGGCAGGTGCCCTTGTCCAGGCCTTCTGAGGAGCTGCCCCTGCTGTGCTCCCCTCCCACACAGGCGGACACCATCTCCGCTCCTGGGACAGAACAGGGCGTTCCTGGAGGGGGGGGCTTTCTCCCGCCCCTTGGAGGGTCCTACCTGCACGCAGCCACCTGTGTCCCCCGTGACAAGGAGACCCTGTGCGTCCCAGTCCTTCACCTCGAAGAAGCAGCAGCAGGAGAGGCTCCCTCCGGGCCTTAAGGGGGCCCTTCCTTTGGCCAGGGGCTGCCCGTTGACGGTCCAGAGGCTCAGGGCCTCTCCAGCGCACGAAGCCACCTCGCCCTGCAAAAGGCCCCCAAGCAGCTCAGGCCTCTCCATCGCGCACAGAAGGCCAGGCGGCCAGCCTGCCCCCAGGCGGGAGAGGGGGCCGGGTCAGGCGGGAAGAGCCCAGGCGGGGGACACAGAGGAGAGGTTGGCTGAACCCAGCCTGCCCCTTTCAGGGAAGGGGGTGCGGGAAGCGGGGTGCATGGCTGCTTCGGGGGCCTCGGATGAAACCCCGAGTCCCTTCCAGTCAGGGTTCGGGTCCAGGTGTGGGACAGGAACAGCCTTGGTGGCCCCTGGCGAGAGCGGGATGGGGGGCCCCACCCCGCATCTGTCCCCGCTCTCCTTGGCCTCTTAGCAGCCTTTGATGTCCTTTGGGGGGGGCAGGCTGTGGGGTTTGAAGCTGGGGCTGATCTGGCTCCTCTCTCCAAGGTCGGTCCCCGTCGTCGTTGACAGGGAGTGAGAGGTCCGATGGATGGACGGACGGACGGAAGGGAGGACTAGTGGTCCAATCCTTCCCCTTTCGGCTCCTTCCCAGCTCCAAAGCCTCTGCCTCGATCTTCACTGGTTTTATGCACCCCAAACACTTCCCTGCAAGTACGTTTCCCCGCTTCAACTCACACGTTTCTCTGGGAGTCTCTGCTGCTTCCCAGGCACCAGCAGCTAGGAGGGGACTTTCGTCTCCCAAGAGGACCCTGGACGATGCAGACAAGGGGAGGGAACCCTGGGGGGGGGGGGGGGGGAGAGACTTCTGCTCCTTCACCCACTGGCACCCAACCGTGGCCTCGGGAGGGCTGCATGCAGCCGAACACACCAGAGGGCAAACGCTCTCAAAAGCCCTCGGGGGTAACAGCCCCCCCCTCCTCCTCCTCATCCTCCACTCTGACTCAGAAATTGCTTTTAGTGCCCCTCTCAACATCCAGGATCCTATTAAAAACCTCAGTAAAAAGAGATAGAAAATCAATCGGTCGCGCCTCGGAATGGTTTCTCGCGGAGAAGAGCTCCCATTAAGCCATCATGAAACGTTCGTGGCTCTGTCAGGAGGAGGATGATGGATGAAGGCCTTACCGTGGAATCATTGATGGCAACCGCCGAGAGGCCGGCCTCCTGTGCAGGAAGCCGGGTGAGGCACCTCAGCTGGTTCAGGTCCCAGAAGAGGCAGGATCCGTCCGCAGAGCCACTCACCAGGAGGCCAAAGGCCGTGGAGGCAGCCAGGCAGGTCACTGGCTGTGTGTGTCCATACAGAGGCTGGGGAGCAAGGCAGGCAGTGAGCACAACGCACACACATGCGCACACACACACAGAGGAGCGGGGAGTGGGATTGAGTCCCAAGGCACAGCCTGAGCTGCAGGATCACGGGCCCTGCCAGGTGCCCTGCGGAGAAACCCAAGTACAGTGGAAGGCCCTCCAGGGTCACCTACAAGGGAGAGGAGTGGCCGTGTAAGTCGGGTGGGTGAAATAAGGAACTCCTCCCTGATGTACAAGGATGCCCCCCCCCCGCTTGCACAAGGCCCATGATCCCTCCTTAGTTTTCACACACAGAGTCCTCCCTCCACTGATGGGCGGGTGCAGAAAGTCCAAGGAAACCTCCTTTGGCAACTGCTGAAGGCCGAACGGCCAGGGTCATCCAAACAGCCCCTGGAGAGTCTTATGGAAGCGCAGCTGCAGCCGCAGCCGCCTGGGTTCCAGCAGGGCCCCTGGAAAGCGGCTCCCCCTGGCTGAGGAACACCTGGGCTGGGCCAGCTACCTATTTGGCTTTCTTCTGCCACGATGCAGAATCTTCCTTCCCGGAACCTGCTTCACACAATTGCCTTCCTATCGGCCACTCCACTAAGCTGGGTCTTGGTTGCCTCCCCAGCACCGTTCGTCTTCATAACAGGCCACATTTAATCCATGACTGTACGTGCAGAAGACACCGAAACTAATCAAGCCAGTGAAACTTCTAAGACCCACCTGTTTCAGAAGTAAGGCTGGGGGCCCCGTTGGGCTCCTGCAGAGGTCCCAGACACACACCACGGCGCTGCTTCCGGACGTGATGAGGCTGCTGGGTGCGGGAGACACAGCGCAGAGGCAGTCGCCCCAGTCAGCCGGAGCCTCCAGGACGGCCACCTTCTGCGTGGGCCACGGAGCACCCGCGAGGCAGGAGGGAGCAGAGAAGAGGGCGAGGGAAGAGGGGCAGTGAAATGGAGGCAATGCTTACAGGCACGCATCCTGATATGCTTATATATTTATGTGGAATTTTAATTGAGTTAAGACTTTAAAAAAAGCAATACAAAACAGTTGAAAAGCAAATACGAATTTTGAAACAATTTCATACTGTTTTTTTGCCAGATCTTCTGTAAAATGTGGTCTACCAAATTATTTCTGAATGTAAAGTCTATGCTTTCCTTCTGCAGCCTCCACTGATAACAGCTTCTTTATCCAAGTCTCAAACACTAGTGAGAGACCAACAAACAATTTATAGTATTAACCAATACTAGTGAATTCATAATAATGAATATATTCCTTTCAAAATATACTCGGAATGTTTCCTGTTGCTTATTAACCTGAAAAATGCATCTATCTCATCTGCGCTGCTGAAAGAGGGGAAGAGATTTCTCACTCATCCAGTTAACCTCTCGTAACTGGCCTTCATTTCAGCATTTAACGCCAGCTTCTCTTTTGGGCTTCTGACCCACAGGAGAACCACCATCCCCCCCCCCTTCCCTGCTGGCTCCCCTGGCCCAGAGCGTTGCTCAGGAGGGGAGAGGAGGAGGAGGAGGCCGTGCTGGGTGGGGCCAAGGCATCCACCATCACACACACACACCCCTGAAATGAATGGAGGCACAAATAAAAATGAAACGCTGCTGAATTCTTCCGAAGGAGAACAGCCGGACTTCCCAAGAGGTATGAAATCAAAGTCCCGGGTGATTTTAATTACTGCGACATCTGACAAATTCTAAGAAAGCCTGAAGTCCTTTCGGGAAATTTCTGGCTTCCTTTAACGGTAAACTCAAAGGGCAAAGAAGTCAGAGAACGACCCTCAATCCTTGTATCAACCACGGTTTAGTTCAGGAAGTGGAAGAAGAACGAACATGGGGGAAAGAGAGTGTGGCACCCCAACATTTTAAGGGAAGCTCAGACCGAATGTAATCAAATGCATATTTTTATTATGTAGATGTTAATATAGTCAGAACAGTGATTGACAGGACTCTCTGGCAGGAAAAGCTGATGAGAGAAGGAGCTCTGCTCTTTGCCCCAGGCAATCCCACCTATAAAATTGTGGCCGTAACTTTTGCACATTGTTTAAACACTAACTGACGTTACTCATCTATGTTTTGCACACGAGGAGAAACGACGCTGCAGAAAGCGAATGACACGGTCTCCTGTCTGTAATGTATTCAAGTACAAAGAGAAAGATCCAGATTGAAGTTATTATTACTTTTAATTATGTCTTGCCTTTCTGTCCAATATAAGTTGCAGACAACTATATTGATGATTTTGTTCAAGAACTTTTGGTGCATTTGCTAAGTTCTGCAGACCTTTCCACCTGTGGGTGGACCTACCTAAGGCATGATGCTCCCTCCGGCAGAAGAGGAGGCGAGACAGGGACAAATGGTGGAATGCACCCCACGGATGGAGGGAGGGAGGGATCGGCCTGCTCGTCGCTGAGCGGCCCAACCCGTAGTTCATCCTTACCTTGTCTGATCCAGAATCAGCCAGGCAGCAGGTGAAGTCACTGAATCCCCAGCAAAAGGTTTTATTCCACAGTGGAGGAAGCAACAGACTCTTCTTCTCCACAGCCAAAATCCCCCTTTCTGTACATACGATATGACCCACAGGCCCATGTGGTGCCTCTACAGAAGAGAAAGAAAACAACTTCAGAACACATTTTAAAGGGGGGGGGGGGAGGAGGAAATCTGCTACTTGAATTTGTCCCAGAAAGTTTTGTGCCATCTAGAATTCTCTTTCTCCCCTAATTCCCCTCTTAGAAACTGCTCTATGTGCCAAAAGAAAGGGCCCTGGACCAGGTGCTATAATGTTCTTTGTGCACCCTTTATGAGGTCTGTATACCTTTGGGAATAACCAATGACGGTTTCAGATTATACAGATTACTGACGGAGAGAGCCGGAGAAGGAAAAAGGACGCTGTTTTTCCCCATTGAGTGTTTCCTCAGGCTCACAGCATTTCTGGAAGGATGTGGTTTCGTAAAAAGCTGAGAATGAAAAAGAACCATAAACAAACGAATTGCAGCAAATCAATGGATCCTGTAAAGTAACATACATAGGCAGCAGGAGCTCCACTGTGTATTTTTAAAATACCTGTTTTCTTACAAATTACCTTTTACTTCTCAATGCAAAGGAGTTATAGTAGCAACCCAAAACCTCTGAAAAAATTTCACTAAGTACAGTATTAACAAAATAAGGCAGAAATTAAAACTCTAAATGAATAAAAGAGTAAAATTATATTGTGTCCCAGGGTGGGGACACCAGGCCTCTATCGCTGATGAGAACAGGTGGGCGATCCTTGCTTTCTTTCAGAAAGACCAGCAAAGAGGAGAGAAGGGCCCAGGGGAGAATTCAAGGGCAGAAAACTGGTCAAGCCCAGACCAGAGAATTACTCCTGGTTTGGTCCAAGAGTAGCCTGGCATCATGAAAGGCGCCTGCTGCTCCCCCCCCCACATCTTCGCTGATGTTCGGCTGAGCTTTTGGTGAGCGCCGGGCATTGATACTCCGTGGCTCTGCCTTTGCCTGTAGCCGAAGCAAAATGCTCCGGGTACCAATGCTTTAGGTGGGCGCTGGTTAGCCCCAAGAGAGAGAAATGACTCCTTAGCGGATAATTTGGGCTCATTTGCTTGGAGAAATGCACGAATGGCTTGGAGGCTACTAATTCATCCTTGGCTTTCAGGGTCGTTCCCCATCCAGCCTGCCAAAGTTATCCAGAGTAGACGGGTCTTTAATGACAACCTACGCTGGAAGGAGAAAGCCCCTTCTGCTCCCCAGGAGGAGAACCATGCGACCGAAGGAGTTAAGCTTCATCTCCACGGGCCAGAATAATTCTCAACCATCTCCGCTCTTAAGGGGTCCTGGAAAGAGAGCACTCCTGGCTCTTCAACACCAGGGAATTTCTTCCAAGAAGCAGTGAGACGTTTCTCACTGGAAGAGAAACGCACAGGAAAGTCACTCTGTATAGGAGACAGTTTCTGAAAAGTGCCTAAACCCACAACCGCAAGCTGCTCCCCGCAAACTATCCACAGAAGCCGCCCAGGTGGCCGTATGAGACCCGAGTGAAGGAGGGTTGGACTTTGGGCCTTGAAACGACTTCTTCGAGATTGATGAGTTGTTCGCCTCTGCTCCTTCCTGGAGAGCTGCTCTGGGTGCCTGCCTGTCATGCCCCTGCTGGAGTCCAATTCTGAGGGGGAGGCCAAGCAGCTGACAGGGAAGGGGAGTGTGTCTCCGGAGGCTGTGGAAGAAACGGGGGAAGGGCACAGTCTGGCTGGGCCTTCAGAGGAAGACCCAAGGCCACCCCCTCTTCATCCTAGGGCACGCAGGGAGGAGTGGAGAAGGGAGCAACATGATTTGTGTGGGTTACGGGGGAGAAAAGGGCCCTGATTTCCTTCATCAGCTGCAGCTGGGAAAACAGGATTTTAAAAGGGTGTTTGCGCACAGCACCTTGCTGGAAGCAAAGCGTGAATGATCTTTGTTTGTCAAGTCTTATCTGGGTTCTGGCATCCTCCCAATTGTGTGTGTTTCAATATCTTGTGAAGTCTGCAATTCCTTATCCCGCCCTGTGTTGTTAATTGCTGCAGTGTGGTTTGTGTTGGTTTTTATTTATAATTTATATGTACTTTGGGGTCGGACTGAATTTCTTCCCTGTTCTTGGGAGAGTTTTTTCTCCAGGCAATGATAACTGGACATTGGAGGCCAAGTTGGAGGTATTAAAGGGACTTTACCTACTTTTGTGACTTTGTTGCTGTTGTGCAATGCCCCTTTGGGTCATCACACTGCCCTTCTTACAAAAGCTGACCTCCACCTCCTGTACACTTGGATACACCTTCACGGCTTTGGCTTACAGTAGTCACTGGATGGAACACTCTAACCCATTAAATGTATTTATATTATAATGTTTCTTTGTGTTACATTATTGTGTCATAAGAGACATATTTGCTGGAGCAGGGGTTGCCAACCTCAGGGACCACCAAACTCATAATTTTAAATCCTGTGGACCGGAGACACTGGGAAAATCCCCAAAAAGGTCTGCAGGAAAATTCCCCACCCTGTTTTCCTACTGATCATTCTTTGGGATCGCAGGATACCGTCTCTAGCTCCGTTTTCAGGGTGGGGGGGAGAGAGACTTTTGGCTTCAAGCAAGGAAAGCAGCAGAAGCAGCAGAAGTCTTTCTTTCTCTCCCCCCAAACTCCACCAGAAATGAGTCTTTGCCGGTGCAGCCTCTTGGAGGAGGAGGCCTTGCAGGGTCTGAAAGACTCATTTCTGGCAGAGTTTGGGGGAGAGAAAGAAAGACTTTGGCTGCTTTCCTTGCATGCAGCCAAAAGCAGAAGAAGAAAGAAGCGGAAAGAAGCAGTCCAGTGGCCAGGCCAGGCGCGTGGGGCAAATTCCCCCCTCCGCCCTTTCCCCCTCCCCTCACTACCTCGTTGTTCGCAATGCAAGCAACATGACACGTTCTCATGGGCCATGTGAGTGGCGCAGCCTTGTGTTCCTGTGGAGCCTGGATTAATTGCTTTGGGAGTGACATTTCTCTGCAGACCATCCCTGGCCCACTGGTTGGTGACCACTGTGCTGGAGGGTGCAAGGAAGGAGACTCCTGCCTACTTCTACGATACCTCTTGCTCTGCCAACCCTCAATGGCCGGACGTTTCTCTACACAGGAATTCCTCCTCCTTACCCAGAGATTGACAGAGTGAGGTGTAAGCATTCACATGAAAAGCCTTTTAGAAACTTGGAAGAAGAAAAGATTCAAGTCCAATGAAGGAGCTAAACAATTAAACAATAGCACCTAATAAGCTTGATTACTGATTAGGTGAAGAAAAGCTGACATGTGATCTTTTAATCTATTCGAATGGGGTTAAACTCACAGAGATTATCAGAAAAGTTAGCACATAAATGCAGACACAGGCGGGATCTTTGCTTGTACCTCTTCTAGAGTCACCCAACCATCATTGGATGAATTAATGTTCTATTAATAAGGATAGGTTTTCGTGTTGCTTCAGGGGTGGCTGGAACAAATATTCTCAAACCAACCGGGTTACTTTTTCAAGAAATCCCATCAGGATAACGCACCTCAACGTGAGATCAAAATGCTAACTCTATATCCATGGTTGCCCGAGGGCACCTGCCTGGCCATGGTTTGCATCGTACCTGCTGTGGGATCTGTCCGAAATTGCTGACAAACCCCAGGACGGTGCTCTTGAGCAGAGGGTCCTCGGGGCTGCCCGCTTGCCCTTGGTGGCTGTAGAAATAGGGGTGGAAGACGTTCACGGCCTTCACGGCGGCTGAGCCCTGCTGCTTGAAGCCGAAGATGAGGTCGATCCAGTGGTGGAGGTGGCTGCTGACGAAATCACTCTCCAGGGCCTGAAACCCAACCAGCCCCATTCAGCCGCCTGGCTGGCAGGGAGGCGTCCTGTCCCTTCTTCCAGGAGGGGGGTGGGGCTAAGCAGCGGGGGGGGGCTTTAGGAAGTCTACAGGCCTGGTTACCACCAGTGGACTCGTGTATAACTCCCACCACAAACTATAAAAGCTATGAGTAAAGGCTGCCACAAGGGAGTCCTTTTTGTTTTTGGAGATTTCTCCTTATGCTTTATTTTAGATTAAAGCAAATATTTTGAGAATATTAGACAGAGAATCTCTGACTTGGGCTCCTTTCCAGCTGCCCTTTCATACAGACCTGCCTGTGCAGCCTAATGAAGCGGTGAGGATCTCCTCCTGCCCAAGGTGGCAAATCCACATCATTCAGCCGGGTCCCATCCTGCAAGCATCCTGCAAGGGACGGGAGAGAAGGCCTGGGTGGCACAAAAGAGCCAACACACACAGAGGAGCTTTCCTCCCTCCAAGGACCAATAAAAGCGTCTGTACACAGGGATGTAAGGGTGTAGAAGCCCTCCTCCCAGGACAACTGGGATTTGGTGACAGAGCCTGGAAGGCAAGAGTGGGCCAAGATCCTTGGTGATCACCCCGGGTTCAAAACCTGTGATGTGGGCTTCAAGCAGGTTTAGCTGCCGAGCCGATAATCCCTGTGACCTGTCCAGCTTTTGTCTAGACAGAATCCGTTGATGAGGAAAAACAGATTTAGCCCTGGACAAATCTTACAAGGGAGGGGTGCTGAGGCAGGAGCGCCTTTCCCATAAAGGGAAGCTTTTAATGGGACGTCCAGCCAGCTCAAAATACCAACATTATTTGAGCGCTTGAGCACTAGTTCGTCTAGAGTGCTTTGATTTTGACTCTTTCACTCAAGAGGCAAATCCATCTCCATCATGCTAAAATGGTGCGGAGCCCATGATTCCAAATGGGAGCCCAACACAGCGAATGCCCCCTCACCAAAGTCAAGGTGGTTGTGGTTTGTTAAAAATTCAGGGAGATAAAAGAATTCAGGTATCAGTTCCCGGACATCCGTCATGTTGTCTCTGGAGGCTGACTCCCAGGTGCTCCTCACGCTGTGGAACATGCGCTCTGCGACATCCAGGTCCCCGCCCTGTGGAGGGGGCGAGAAGAGAAGCCATGCCACCACCCAGAGCTTTAGGCCACAGCCACCGGGAACCACCCACCCGCTGGAACTGCCGGCTGGGATTGGGACAAGACATTTCGGGAGGCTCTGGAGGGCCAGGAGGACAAAGCGCTCTGGAATGCCTGGACAAACCCCGGCCAGGCCCCTTGGGAGGAAACGGCATGAAGCACGTGGAGAAACGAATTCCTTGCCAACCATTAACCCCGGAGGCTTCTGTCGTGCTTCTGGAGAGAGGGTGGCGGTGCGGATGTGCACAGAAAATATTGTACAGGTGGAAGCAAGTGCGGCTCCACTAAGTTTCACATTTTGCAAGGGGGACACGCTTAGCTGGGCAGAAGAAACATCGACATGCTGTTCTTCCACCCCCCAAAAGAATGATGCCAAGTATCGACTAGAAGGTGGTTCCGATTCTTGCACCTTCCATGTTCGTTGTTCTATTATTTTGAATCCTGGGGATGCTTTCAGATTTGCAGAGCTGGGCCCGGCAGAAGGTTGTGGCGCCAGCTGCTGTCCGCTTAAGAGTTTCTTCAAACTTACGCTCCCCTCTGTGAGGCCAAAACGTCCGCATGTAACTGCACTCCCTCCAAAGGGAAGCAAATGGTGCTCCCAGGACGCCCCCCTGGAAGTCCGCAAGGGGGGTTCTGCCCCAAAGTAAGGACCAGCCTCCTTCCCACTAACGGCCCTGCGCCCTGCCCTGCCTTGGGAAGAAATCTACAGCGGAGGGGTTGTGTAAGGGCAAGGCACCGTGAGCAGTTCAGCGGGGGTGTTGCAAAGTCATTGTTGCTGAGTTGGGGAGATCATCCCTTGGAGGCAGCGCCCCTCCCCACCCCCCCAAGCTATTTTCCAGTCAAAACTGCGGTGGCTCCAAAGCCGAGTCAACCCTGCAGAAAGCGCCAGCTAACAAGGAGCCTCTCGGAAAGGCCTTCAGCCACATATATACAACGTGGCGGCCAGAATATGCGACGGAGGCGTTTTCCTCTGCTTTTTACATTTTTATGAGAGCCGATGGTGATCTCTAGAGAGACAATGTGATTTGTAATAAAAAGGTTATCTGTATTAAATAAAAACAATATCTACATAGAAAATGTTGTTAGTGCCCCAAATCTGGTTAAAGATATTACCATCCAGAAAAATGTAATTTTTTTGCAGCTGTCTAATGCATTTTGGAGAAAGTAATATCTCTAAAACGAACGCCTGTATTATTTATAGAGAAAGCAATAACTGATTTGCAGCATTTCTTATATTAATAACTGTATTTGCATACATTTGTATCCGAATTAGTGGGCTTTCTTCCGCTCAGAATGCGAGGGAAGGAGGCAGCTATGGAACATCCCGGTGGCTCTTCTCTGTGGCCCTGTGTGCAAGGCGGCCTGGGAAGGAGCAGCCCCATTGGCGCTCTGACCCTGCAGAGCCCAGAGCTGGCAACGGGCTCTGGTGGCTTGCCAAAGGGGAAACGGACGTATCGTCTTCACGATCACAGCGGATCGAAGCTCCCTTCAAGGGAGTTCAAGGATTATGAAACTCCAGCCTGGAGAATCGTTCTTACGATGCACGTGAACTTCATCTGCAACTTCTGTTGCCTCTCCTTCTGTTGTCTTTCTGCCTGTCACAGTTTTTCATGTCTCAAAAGATTTTTCTTTACTTTTTTCTATAGCAATAATGGAAAATGAAAGCTTTTTCTTTAGTTCCCTTTGTTAAACCAGCCTATGACTGGGGGGGATTTGCAGCTGAAGGCCTCCGATTCCCTTCATGTCTTTTGACCTGCGACTTGCGCCCTGCCTCTGGAGGCACCCACCCACGCGCCCCTGTTCTCCCTCCACACCTAGGAAAGCTGCGTTAGCAGTTCTGCTTTCCTCCTAAGAGAGTGGCATATTTCTGCTATTAGTTTAAGCATCACTGGGGGTTTTCCCCCCACCCCCCGGGATTATTTTCTTGCATTTATAGTGCTGGAGTGAACTATTCCATTTATTTATTTAGTTAGTTAGTTTTAAAAGCACTTATGCTTTTAAACCTTTTTAACCCTGTTAACCGTACAGAAATGAGATGCTGCCAGACTGCCACGCCAGTAACGATTACCAATTGAGATTGGCGCAAGGGCTGGCCTGACCTCGACCTCGGCTCCTCCAGGAGGCCCAGACCAAAGGGAGGGAGGGGCGAAGGGGCCCAGGCCCCCTGCTTCTGCTGGGCTAGCCCTCCTGATGCCCCCCACCCCCCGCCCCCCAATCCCTCCCCTGTTGCTGAAGCTTCACTCAACTTTCATTCTTAGTTGTTGGTGGTTCTCTTCATTTGGGTTTCCCTTCCCTTTCCGGATGCCACGACCTGGTTGATGATGGGGGGGGGGGGGCTGCCCAGTTCTTGTCAGGCACTTTAGAAAGCTGCACAAACATTTCCACACCGACAACCTCCCCTCTCCCCCCCCCCCACACACACACTCTCTCTGTGCTCCATGGCTATTTTGGCAATGAAAATTGGACCCACGGAGACCCTTCCCAAAGCGTGGACTTCTTCTGAAAGAGCACCGGACTGACTTTTTAAAGTCCTGAACTGCCCCAAAGGTGAATTTAAATCTAATTACTCTTCCGTTGTGTACTGTTCAGTACCTTAAAGGCTGTTTTGTGTTTGGTGCAGTGCATTTTTACTGGTAGGCAACAGAAAAAGGATGAAAGAAAAGAAAAAGAGGTAGTGCGGGGGGGCGGGGGGGGCGGGGGGCAGTTAATGATGAAGACCGAGTAACTGTCGCATGACCCACCCTCAACCCTCGGGCACAACCCTTCCCCGGGGCTTCCCGACCCCTTTCCGCCTGCACAGTCCCTTGTGGCGCCCTCTGCTGGCCCCTTTCCTGAACGCCAGGAGCGCTCAGGGCAGAGTCCCGAGTGAGGGCCTGTGCAGCTCAAAGGCTCCGGGTCTGGCCAGGGAGCCGCCGCCCCCCATCTTTGCTAGACTCCACCCAAGTTCAGCCCACCTGCAAAGTCCGAAAGGTTTCTGTGAAGGGCTCCAGGCGGACCAGATAGGAAGCCACGATCATGGCGGAGGAGTAATGAGTACAGTAGTGACTCTGAGCTGTGAGGTTACCTACAAACAGGAAGGAATCCACAGTTTATGGACTTCATTTCTGGATAAATCAATCCGTTTCGATTTCTTCAAAATGAAACAATCCCTGAAATGTGTAATAACGTGCCTTATCGAGCAACTTCCCACGCGCATCTTTAACCAAAGCGCACCCCTGATCAGGGCTAACCGATGACTCGGGGAGATGCCAGAACAAGCCAGTTCTAGCGGTCTTTGTTTGCTCATGGGGGGCCCCCCATGCCCCCCATTCACCCCAGCCCCTAATTCCCCCTGGGTTCTGTGAGGGAGACCTTTGGGCTGCTTCCACCGTTCTGCTCTGGAGGGGGCGAGATTTGGGGTACCCCCTGTTGATGCTGGAAATGAGGTTGGTACCTTCGGTCTTCTCCACTTCTTTGAAGCGCTGGATGAATTTCTCTCTCCTGCCCTCCGTCTGAGCCCCCATGGGCTTGGAGAGGTCACGGAAGGTGCTTGGATGGGTCAGGTCCAAAGTCTGGAAGGCAAACGCAACATGTCCCTTGACTCAGCGGCCAAGCGGGGCAAGTCTTCCAGCGGCTGACCTGACCTACTTCCTGTAGGCCGCCGTGTCCTCCTGCCCCCTTCCTCTTTCAGCAAAGCTCCAGTCCAGCCTCACAGAGAAAAGGCTCACCAGGGAATGATAGTCTGCAAGGACCCACGGGAACACTGGGTACTGCATGAGGTCGCTGGGCGTCCGTCCCGCCAGAGAATTCAGGTACATGAGGTACTCGAAGTTGCTGATCTCTCTCCTCTGCCAGGAAGGGAAAAGAAGGATGGTGGTGGGCTCAGTGGCTGGGCTGCCTCCCAGGCAATGAACACGTCCATTGCCTCGTTCTCTAAATCTATTTTTCTAGGACGGGAAGGGGGGGGGCGCTAGTTTCTGCTGGTTCCCCTAGTTTCCTTTTGTGCCTCTTTCTATGGATGCCTGTAGTCCGGATGGCATCTCTCCCCCACCGCCCTCTCTTTGGAGGCCAGAGTCCCAGAGGCTTAATACTTCTACTTTCCCTTACAGTCTCACAACCCCTGGATCTCTAAGTCATGGTGTATGACATGGTGGCTTTTATTCTCTCCCCGTGTGACCATCGCAGGCCTCAGTCTCTGGGCCCGTGCTGCCTAGTCCATAGGGCGAGAGGGGGCTGTAAAGGAAGCCGGCCTTGCAATTCTGTGCAAGCTTCCAACGTTTCTCCTGATTCCACTTGGGAAATAGGCTTCCTTCCACCTCGGAGGGTGCGAGAGGGAGCCGCTCTGGTAATAGCTCCGATGAGGAGCTTATTTCCAGAAGCTGCTGCAAAGATGGAGCACAAATATTTCTCCCAAATGTCTGCTAAAACCCCACAGTTGACTGGGGGTCCCTTGTGTAACAAGCCCCCTTCTAATCCAACGCCAAAAACCGGCAGAAGTTTTCTGCATAACAGCTGATCTCATTTGCTATCAATTCTCTCTCAGGCTGCTCATCTTTTTACTTCCAATGAAGGCTTCACGTATGTTGTATGTTCTGCTGGCACAACGTTTGTGGAGGAACGGGGCAGCTCCCCCTCCTCCCTCCCTCTCTCCCTCCCTCCCCCCCCCAGCCTTGCAGAGGGGGCTTTTGTGATGCCTTCCTGCATTCACGATCAAAGCGACGTTTCCAGTGGACGCCTGCAACACCTCCGAATGTGGCCTCAATGCAGGATCCCAGGGGGTTGGATCCATCAGCTGACATGCTGGCTGACTTAACTTGGTGACCCCTGAACCTAGTGAGCCAGGCGTGCCCCCTGCCCAGCCAAGGAAGACCCCCAAAGCCTCGGCTGGCCCTTTTCCACCAAATAATAAAGCTGGATTGGAATCAACCGGTTGAAAGTTCAAGTTAGGAGCTTGAAGATAGCATCAGACTTGGAACACATCTACTGAATAAACTGTCTATGTCGGACTACAAGGTAATGGGTGGCCATCTTAATCTCCCCTTGTTCATTTTGAATCCTTTCTGCCGTCTATTTGCCGTTTGGGCAAAGCACGACCCTCCTTTACATCACAAAGTCCCTCTTTTGATTCCAACCCCAGCACTCTCCATCCAGTGGGGATGCACTGTCAAAGCACACGTGCAGCCTAGTGCCGTTCGATCTCACCGAAGCATCGAACTCCCCTGCTAGGACATCAGCAGATGCTTCTGAATAAGCCCACAAAAATAGCTCTTTCCGTCATTCCAAGTTATCCCCAGGTAATTTTCCCTTAGTTGCTAGCCGTGGTGGAGGAGTGCAGATATTAACACCCAGAAAGTATTTAATTTGAATATATATGGCTAATTAGAAACAAATCGGCTCAGGACTGTAATCCAACAAGGAAAGCTTTGTTTGGGACAAAGGCTTTTGGGATATATCCCTTTGGCCAAATTTCACGGGTGCTGGAAGTGGCTTCGACAGAGCCATTTCATTTGAATGTCGCTCAGGGCTTTTGACACCAGAGTCAGCAGCAGCCTGGACCAGGCCAGGGAGCAGCTTCTAACCAGCAGGCCAAGTTTTTAGGAGAGCTCCCGCCGCTTCCTCCTCCTGCTAGCCAGGCCCAGAGGGCTCCCCAGCTTCCTTCCGGGTTTTCCATACAAAATCCTCCACTGTGAGGCTTACAGAGAACAGGCACCGTCTTTCCTGGCTCAGGTGAGACCGGGAAGCACTTTTTGTAAAGTTCCGTATGGATAGAATACTCCACTGTGAAGCAAATAATCTTTAAAAATTAATTGACGATGGATTGATTGATTTCAGTGGAACAGCACCAAGAAAAGATTTTACCTGCCACTTCAACAGGAAGAACTTTTTTTCCTCTGATTGTTTTCTGCAAAAATAAATAAAAAATAACATTGTGTCACTCACATTTCCGTTTCTAATGGGAACAAAAACTGTGCAAATTGACCTTGATTTCATTGGAGATCTGAGATTCAAAGAAGGCCTGATTCAATTTGTGTCTGAAATCTAGATGCAAACTTGGTCGGTTTAATCCCCGCTCCCTACCAGCACTGATGATGTGGCCTGGTTGGGTCATGAAACATCTGTAAGAAAACCACCCAGCTCAGAGAGCGCTGAGGGCCCCTCACTTCAACCCTGAGCTGCAAATGTTCTCGAGACTATAAGTCCATTGCAGTCATGTGATGTCATGCTTAAGGATGGGGCCTCTTAGCAGAACGGCCAGTCCTAATTGGGGTCATTAAGGGGGGACTCCCTGCAAATGTATGCAGTACAAATGGGGAAGAAGTGTGTGTGGGGGGGTGGTGGTGTTGGTTTGGCAATGGTATGCGTGGAAAGGATTTTAGGTCCCTGGGAAAATGAGTCTCAGGACTGTGTGAGGTGGCATCAAACAGGCCAGTGCAATTCTGCCTACAAGAATGCCACCCCTTTTCCAGAGGGTGGGGGGGCTCCTCCTCACTGGGAGGGTCCCAGCAGAAGCCACGGGTGGGGGTGGGGGGCTTCTATTCGCCTCCCTGCTCTGAGCCTGTGACTCTCCTTCTGCTGGCATGGAGGGCAAAGGACCACACTGGCTGCCACAGGCAGGCGTGTCCCGGGCACTTCTTGGCTGAGTCCCCGGTGTCAGAGCACCGCAATGATCTCACAGATCTGGTGGAGTTTCCTGTAGGCCCCTCTGGAACGGTTGCAGCACCAGTCCACTAGTATGAATAGGCTGCTTTCCCAGGCCCGGCAGGTGGAGCTGGCGTGGGAAACGAGGCCTGTGTTGTGCGATCTCCAAGGGCTCAGAATTTCCTGTCGCTTAGATACCAAGTTTCACAGGCGGCATCACAACAGCTGACTACAATCTCACAGGAACCGGGTAAGTCACCCTCTCTTGAAGCAAGCAGGTTGCCAGTTGTTCAAAATTGTTGTTTCAGTTTTAGAATTCGCGGGCCAGCAAAAAACCAGATGAGAGTTTTCCATGCGGTTCAAAGATTTATCTCCAAACATTGGCAGAGAAGTCAGAGAAGATTTCTGGAAGAATGGGTTTGCCACGAAAGCGTGAGGCCAGGCCCACTAGAAGTAACTTAGCTGGCATGCAATTCCATTGAATGTTATGGAGTTTCCTTTTTAAATCACACCCACACCCACACCCCTTGTTTTCTGGTTGATTCTGTGTACAGTAGAATTTACAAGTCCGGATTGGGAACAGCAGACTCCATTTAATTTAAAGCAGCTTGTTATTAGGAAATAAAGCTGTAAGTATAAAGTTACTCAGCTACACCGCAGTCTCTGAGATTCAGCAATCTAGTCAGCTTGCAAGGGAGGGAGGGAGGGAGGGAGGGAGGTTTACATCACTCTTGGGCCAGACAGGGGCTCTCAATGGGCTGTCATCCTTCACGGTTGTCCTGATGTGTGGAAGTTCTGCTCAGGGCTGTGTCGTGTCCCGTTTCCCCCCCCCCGTCTCCCCCCCCCCAGGGAAAGCCGCTCTGAAGCCTTTCCTGGCCGCTCATTTCCCTCGTCCGGAGGAAAGCAAAAGAGCTGCCAGCCCCTGGAGGCGAGAGTTCTTCGCCAGGGCTCAGGATTTGGGCTTTGAGGGAAAGTACCCGGCTGCACGCTGGCTTAGGGACTCTAGCATTTAAACAAACGCCAGGCCTACAAAGGAGAAAGTCCAGATATGGCCCACTGCCTAAATCAGAAATCTTGCTTTTGGAAAGCACTCTGACTTTTCTGACCCAGCCGCCCAGCACACCTAGCAGGCCTCTTAATTCAGGTCTGCCCAAACACACTCAGCAGCCCTCAGGCAGGTGTTAGACTGACAGTTCTTACTCTCTTTGTTCATCTTATTAATTTTGATTAAAAAGAGAGCGATTAAAAGATCACCGCAGATTTCAGACAAAGTGGGGCATTTGTAAAAAGGTTTCCTAATCCTTCTAAAACTCTTGCTCAAGAGGAGCCATCTCCTGGCCAGAACGTGACCCAAGAATGCCCTTGCCCCAAAAATCTTTTTACTTCCTCTGAATAAATTTTGGGGCGAGGGGAGGAACACACACACACACACACACACACACACACACACGCACCCCTGCCACGTGAGGTGTTCCAATGGGCTATTGAGATGAACTCGAAGCCATCGCTTCCTCGGATCTTCCTGGATTGGTACATGATTAATGAGCAGTCGAAAAGCCCGAAGCGCTTGTAATGAAAGCCTCCTAATGGAGAAGTGTGTTCCAAACAAATCTATGTTCTTTTACAAACAATCATTTATCAAAACAGTGATTTGACTCCTCACAATTAAATGTGGAGGGTTTGGATCAGCTGGGGCTAAGCCAAGCGGAACCTCCTCCTCCTCCTCCTCCTTGGCTCTTGCAAAGCAGCTGGCAGCCGCCCCTGCCTTTCCTGGCCTTTTGTCGGGGGGGGGGGGGGGGGCAGAGTGTAGGGGGGTCGGATGGGGGGCTGCTTCTTGAAAACTGTCCTGCCCTGGGAGCCCCCGAGAGCCCTGCCCGCCTCCAGGAGCCCGGCTGAGGGCCGAGGGAGCGCAAGGCATCCTGGCATTCAGTGGCTGAAGGCAGAGAGCCGCCTCGGAGGAAGGGGGGTGACAAGCTGTCAGGAGAGCAAGCGGGGGGGGGGCTACAGGGAGTCCCTGCCTTATGGCGGCAATTGGGATCACTAAGCAATGCAGTTACAAAGCAGGACGTCGCGTGACTGCACCTCTTAGCGACAGAAACCCCAGCCAGCAGCCTAGGTCATCCTCATGCGAGAGACTGGGGGAGCCCCAGGTAAGAAGAGTGAGGGGAACCGGGGGGGGGGGTAGGATGAGGGCATTCCTCCTCCTCCGAGCCCTTTTTCCCACTCCTTCCTCGGGGGCGAGGGGGGGTAGCACCCAAAGCAGGACAGCTTAGTCAAGGGCAGCTCTGACCAAGGCAGGCAAAGGGGAGGAGGCCCTGGTGCGGCATTATGAGGTGGCCGTGAGGTGTGGCAGCCCTGGCCAAGGACCTCACAGATGCTTCCTTCTCATGCCCTCCCTAGGCACAAATATCGAGGGCAGGCTGGGGGACCCGGAGGGCCAGGTCGGTGCTGCTGCTGCTGCTGCTGCCGCTGGCGCCAGGGAAAGGTGTGGCGAGCCGAGCCAGAAGCAGTCCAGGTGCGCTCGGCCTCCTCACGCTGGCTTCCTGCCTGCTGCTCTCCTCACACTTAGCAAGCCTCCGAGTCTGGTGATTTACCTCAAGTAACAAGCCCTACGGCAGGCTGAGTGCCAGGCGCCTCCCAGTTTGTGGGGCCATAAAGTCTGGCAGGCGTTTCACTTGTTCTTTCCGGGGACTTTGGGCCACCTGAAGCAGGGAAGGGAGGGGAAGGCCCCTGAGCAGGCCTGGCTCTAGTCTTCCCGGGACTAGGAGGTGGGCGAGGAGAAGGGCCCAGCTGGACGAGGATGCCAAACATAGCCAGAAGGCGGCAATGGCAAACCATCTGGATCATGTTTTGAGAAAATAGCATAATTTGTGACGATGTCACTAGGACACAAGTCTCAAGCTGAGGGAAACCTTATTCTGACATGGCAAAACTGTTGCATAAACCGTGAAAGAGATCTAGTATATTTCTAAAAAAGAATCCTTGGAAATCTGGAAGCTTCTATCTCTGCTGGCCAAGTGGTGGATCCATGATCTGTGATAAAGGACTCTGCTTGCCCTATAAATCCTTTAATTATCAATGCGCCTCCTCCCTGTGCTATGGGGAGCAAAACCCAGCCCTGAATTGCTGCAATGTACACAGGAGGAATATAAGACGAAGCAGGGCCGACACCTACAGTACAGCCAGTACTTTTCCTTCCTGTGGAAAGCGTATGCGCTCCCACTAAGTTTGCCTAATGACGGGAGCATATAATGCTTCCCTCAAAGGTTTAGTATAAACGTACCAAACTGGCTAGCTCTTTTTTGCTCCAATAAAGAAAACCTTTTATTGGCTGGCTATAATCCCTGGGTTTGTGGCAGAGAGCAGTTCTACTTGCTGCTTTAACCACAGAGATCAAGCATGAAAACATCTGATATGATAGTATGTCGGGGGACTGACTGTCTGCTGCGTGTAAATTAGTGTCACTGAAAAGTAGGTATCTGAATATGACTTTAATTCATATATTTTAGGTCCAAATTTCCCTTCCTTTGCTTCAGCCAGTGAACGAGCCTTCTAAACTATAAAGCCCATTGAGGTGGGGCAGCAGCTGCAATTCCAAGTCAGTTACATGTCAGTTAAAATAACAGGCTCTTCTGGTGGCTGTACAATTTTTGTTTCATTTAAGACTCCTTCGGATAAAATAATAATATTCTAATTCTACCCCAATCCAAGTTTTGAAACGATAAAACACTTTCCGATGAAGATCACTGCAGCACTAATCTATATCCATGCATCATATATTTTCAAAGCGTTTGGGAACCTGGTAACAAGGTAGATGTCAAAGTCGCTTTATAGGTGACATTTCCTTCACTGGGGCTGCCTCCCTTGGAGGAAAACAACGGAGACATTTGCACAGATATTGATTAGAAACTGTAGGGAGGACGGAGCGTGTGTTTATAGAAGAGGTATACGATTGCATGAGAAGCAACTTCAGAGACCAGGTGTCAGGATCTTGAGCAGCTCCCTCAAACAGGCAGAGAAATCAGGGGTCTCCCCCTCTCTCTCTTCTTGTCTGATCAGAAAGAACAACGCTGCCCCCCCCCGCCCCCCGCAGCCGGCCTTAGCCGCCCTGCGGACGGGGGCAGGGGGCTGTCCTCTCCCCCAGTTAACTCTGCTGCCTGTCTGCTTTCAGGGCCCAACGCCAAGCACCGCCTGCAGGCTTCCTTCCACGGAGCACCTCTTCCAGCCCCCTGAGCTGCTCTGCTTTCCGTGAGGCGGATGGCCAAGGGAGGCGCAAAACCCCCCAAGGGGAAAAAGGTCACCCTGAAGGTGGCCAAGACCTGCATAAAAATCACCTTTGACGGGAAGCGCCGCCTTGACCTGAGCAAGATGGGCATCACGACCTTCCCCAGGTGCATCCTGAAACTGGAGGACATCGATGAGCTGGACCTCAGCAGAAACATGATCAAGAAGATCCCGGAGGCGATCGATAAGTTCCAGAACCTGCGCTGGTTGGACTTGCACAGCAACCAGATCGATAAGCTGCCGGAAACCATAGGGAACCTGCAGAACCTCATCTTCCTGAATCTCTCGAACAACAAGCTCACCGCCCGGAGCTTGCCCATGGAGCTCAACCAGCTCAAGAGCCTGCGAAATCTGAACCTCGGCCTCAACCACATCGACAACCTCCCAACCACCCTGGGAGCTTTGAAGGAGCTCCAGGAAGTTGGGGTGTTTGATAACCTGCTGACCCTGATCCCGAACAGCATCGCAAAGCTCCCCAAACTGAAGAAGTTGAACGCCAAGAGGAACCCCTTTCCTGGGCCCACCGAAGAGGAAATCTTTATTGATAACATCAAACGCCTCGAGACGCTCTATTTGGTGGAAGAGAAAGACCTTTGCCCGCCATGCTTGAGGAAATGTCAAGAAGAGCGGGACAAGCTCAACAAGCTGAAGAATACAGTGCCCCCACCTCTCAGAAAGCCAAACTTTTCAAGCCTCATGACCCCCAACTCCCTGGCAAAGGAGAACCAAGCCGACTGGAGGTGAAGAGGCCGGCAGGCCCAGCCCCACCTGAACGACTCAGCAGTGTGGAGGGAGGGGGTTGGCACGATCCCCATGAATAAAACAGCTCTGGGCCACATACAGCTCTACGAGTCTCACAGACACGTGTCAATCCGCCACAGGCTCCCCTAGCAAGCGGCCAGGCTCTGAAATCGCTTCTCCCCAGCCTGCCCCTGGAAGCAGACCTCGTGAGCTTCCTCCAGGGAGCCTAGCTCCGGGGGAGACCTCCCCTTCCCTCCTCTGACCCAGCGGAGGTGGGCTGAGCCCAAGGGAGCCCAGTGCGGAGGAGGCATCCTCCCTTCTACTTCTCAGAGGAGTTCCCAAGGTGGTTGCATGCTAGAGGCAAGAGGCTACCAACACCAAACGGAAGGGGCAACTCTGCATTTCAGAACCAGGCTAGTTTCCCTTCCCGGTTCCAGGCGGAGCTTGGGAAGAAGGGCCAAGGATCGTCCCCTGGGTCCCAAACCTTTCCAACACCACCAGTATTTAGGAGCCCCAGTTAGCAAGATCACAGAGTCCATTCTGCTGAGGATTCTTGCTCCTGGCTCAATCCAGTCAGGGCCCAAGGATGATTAGAGATTCTTGGCTCCTTTCAAAATGTTTCAGATATTTGGCCTGAGGAAAAATCTCTGACTCCATTTTGAATTTTACTTGACAGAGTATTTCCGTCTCCCTTTGATTGTGAACCTTTAGCATCACATCAATCACTGAAATGTTCCTGGATGTGGTGGCACTGTGCCTTTTCTTGCCTTGCACTTGTAAAAGTTAATGCCGGCAACCTTGGTAATTGCATGTGGAAGTTACTATTTAAATTGTCCTATTTTATGCCTGAGCTCAACCCATAATGGACTTTTGCAGTTTCTCTGCAGATGAATTAATACATTGAGAATTTCCAAATGAGTTCCTTCTCTAGCATTTAAACACAACGTTGGCCAGGACACAAAAACTTCACAAACTCAAAAGATGCATCGTTGCAAGTAGAACAAAAGAGGTTTACAGCCTGGGGCCTAAGACAGCATTCGGGTTATAAAGATGGATTAAGGATGCCTCCTCCTCCTCCCCTATTGGATCATTTGCAATCTAGAGTCACCTGGCTTTGCAGTGCATGCAGAATGTGAGTCTCCAATAGGGATTCGTTGTGGAGATATGCAGTGGTGGGGTTCAAAAAAAATTACTACCAGTTCTGTGGGTGTGGCTTGGTGGGCGTGGCTTGGTGGGCATGGCAGGGGAAGGTTATTGCAAAATCCCCATTCCCCCCCCCCCCACTAACCTGCTTTCCAGCTCCGTTCTCCTGTGCAGGGCAGCCAAAGGAGACCCAGACAATCAACTGGGACGCAATGGGAGGCAGAGAAGAGATGGGGTTGGTGGGGCCAGTCAGGGGTGGTATTGGCCAGTTCTCCCAACTACTCAAAATTTCCGCTACCGGTTCTCCAGAACCGGTCAGAACCTGCTGAATCCCACCTCTGGAGATAGGTTGCACATTTGTTGTGTGAGCAGTTGTGAGGGTTCTTGGCTTATGCTGCCACTATGACAAACTGGGCAATCCCTAGTATCAGTCCCCCCTAGGTACACCAGACCAGGAAAACAACTCCACAATAAGCATTAAAACTACATTTTGAGATTGGCCATAACCGCAGAATATCGAAAATCTAGTTGTGCTGTTTTTCTCCTCCTTATCGAGGTGGACATGCATGATTCTGAGTCACTGGACGTTTGGCTGTCTTCCATAAAAGCCAAGCCACCTCTGCCCAGGGCATGTGCCTACAGATTGTCCTCTCAAAGGAGCAGCCAAGGAGTTCCAAAGCACACGAGGCACTCCTTCCCCACATCCCAGGGAGGCTGCTTCAGGGGTTCCTGGGATAAAAGAAGATCAGAGCTTCTGTGCTATGAAGAAGGTATAGTTTCCCCAAATCTTTTAAAGAGGCAAATGCAAATGAAATCTAAGTCAATAACTGTACAAATTTGTCTGCTAAGTAGTGCAAATACAGGGCTCCTATTATCTCTGTACTGCCTATTTAAGATACTAACACTGAAAGCCCTAAATGGCTCAGGAGCTCATGTTGCAAACCAAGCTAGTTGTTAAGATTGGCCGGAAAGGCTCGCCGTCTCTCCAGCCTGGTCTTGTCCTGAGCTTCTCCAAGGCTTTGGGATGTGTTTGCATTTCCTCCTCTGCCTCCTCCAAGCCTCTAACGTTTGGCTGGGAAATTATTTTAGTTTGAATATAATGCTTCTACTTTTTACATACATCCTGCTTTCTGTGTTCTGTTAGGTGTTTTGAGTACTTGTTGGAAAGCAAATGCAGGCTATGTAACTGATGATTAGATTAGGATTAGATTAGGATTAGATTAGGATAGATTAGATTGGATGAAGGGAAGGGAAGGGAGAAAAATATTAAGTAAACCATATACATTGAAGCCAAACATGCTTCTAAATCTCAGGTTTCAAAGAATAAAGCAAAACAGTGTGAATTGGGCATTCTTAATAGCTACAGCCTGGGTTTTTTCCCCAGTTGGGAGTGGTAGTCAAGGCCAGGAGAGCGAGAGGCCCATGCCAGCAGGGCCTCCTTGGGCCTGAGCCTCCCTCTCAGCCCTCAGAGGAAGAAGGCAAGGGCAAAGGGCAGCCATGGAAACTGCAGGGGTTTGCTCAGGCGTTGCCAAGGGCCAAAGGCACACAGCATAGCGGAAATTAAGCCAGAGCCTAAAGCTCCAATGATGGCTGGATGGAGTGACAGGGTTTAGATGTGGTCTATAGTGAGGGAGCCTGAAGGACCGGGGCCCCTCAGAGGCTGGTTTCAGAAATGAACAGCACTGTGAATGTGGTGATTCTCTTCACTGAACTTTCTTTTCGGAATATCCAGATATTTTTGTTACTGTAATACTGTATTTTACACTTATTTTAAAAAAATAAAATAAAAAAGGAGAACTTTAATCAGCTCCACTAGAAACCGCAAATGTTCTCTCTCTTCTGCTACATGAGTCTCTAAATGACAATAGGCCAGCAACTCCTCTCTTTGGGAGGAAAGTCTTTCGGTTCCTTCTTCAAACACGTCCACGTGCTCTGCACTCATCCGGTTCCTCTATTAACTGGAAATCCCCTCGTTTGTTATTTAAGCATAATTTAAAATACCCAAATAATAAATGGTCATGGAAGAACAAAATCTGAACAGCAGGCTAGCATCTGAGAATGCAAACCAATTTACTTTATAGCTGTACCAGTAGTCCTCAACTTATGACTGTTTATTTAATTGTGGTTCACAGTTATAACGGCCTTGGAAAAAGTGACTTACAACCTGCCCTTGAAGTTATAACTATTGCTCCACAAACACACGCACACACACAGCGTAATCATGTGATCCCAATTTGTGACTTTTCAGCTGGCTGCCAACAAGGAAAGTCAGTTGGGGAAGCCAGATTCACTTAATGTTCATATGATTCATGTTAGGAATGATAGTCACCTAACAGTTGGGTTGGCAATATATAAACCAGGATAGTAACTTAATACTGTATCTTTAAGACAATACTGTAATTGTGATTGGCTGAGGTTCCTCCAACGGCCATAAGATGGAGCCAGAAACCTGGTTTGTTCTGCTTGCACTTCCTTTTTGCCGGTGGTTCTGCTCGGATTGCTGTGAGTTTTGCAACTGTTAGCAAACTCCGTTTACTGAACCCTGTTTATGATACTTAACTTCCTTTTTTGGATTATCCCTGGACTGATACTAATTGCTTTGACCATGTATGATTTGGACTGTTTGTTGGACTTTGTTTACCTGTTTACTGGAAGTAAAACCTACGTTTTACTATTCAGTGTATCTGTATGCTGGTTGTGTGTTATTCAACACCACTCTCACTACGTTTCCCTGAGTGCACTCATCCTCCTAACGGGGAATACCTTAACAATTCACTTAACAACTGCAGTAAAAATGATTGCAAGAGAAAGAAGCATCTATCCCCAAAAGTTGGAATCCAGTGTTTCTGAGGTAAACATCAAGCAAGTGCTAATACAAAAGGCTACAACATTTAATTAATTAGTTTTCTTATATATTAGGACATGCAAAAAATACCTTATATTAGTAGATTCATCTGCGGCACCTTTTGATTTCACTGAAGAAAATCTGAGGGGGAAAAAATAGTTAACTTTATTCCCCTGAAAGGTGAGAGCTTTAGACAATTTATTCTAAAAGCTTCTGTGTGTTTATGAGGGACACACACCGTAATTGCCCCCCCTCCCCCTTGATAGGACTGAAGTCCCTTTGGGGGTGCTATTTCTAAAAAGAGCGCACAAATATGCAGCCCCCCGCCCCACACCCACACATGCCAAAGTAAACAGGGTGGGGGGAGCCTGCAGGAGGTGCCCGTGGGCATTGCCCCTCCCCCACCCTCCCCCACTTATGCTCCTATGCAGCATAAGGAGACCCTCCAAGGCTGCCCAGGTCCCCCTTGGGTCATGTGACCAGGAAAGATCCACGGAGGGGGGCTGTGAATGGAGCAGCCTCCTCAGCCTTCCTCTCACCTGGCCAGGGAGGCATGGAGGTATTTACAGCATAATCTGGCCTTTTTAAAACTTAATTTTCCTGATTTCCCCTAAATTTGGTCACATTATGCTTAGTCTATAGAAAGTTCATCTGTTGATAAACAGGCCACAACTTTCTTAAATAATTTCTTCCTAGAAATCCATTGGGTTAGAAACAATTAAGAAACGATAACAATTGGTCTTTTCTTCAAGAGTTATTTATTTTTTAGGTCCGCTTGATTTTTCATATCTCACAGTTATTTTAGCGTCCACTCTAACCAGGCCAGGAAGAGCAATTCCTCAAGGCTGCCGGGTTTTTCACGAAGCCAACCTGCTAGGCTCAGCCCTACACGACTAAGGCCCGAATGGGTTTGGGCTTAGCGATGGTCTGTCTGAATATTCTGCAGATAGAAGAGAAACCACACAGGTCTACAAAGAAGGTGGTCTTGGAAATCTACCCGTCCTAGGAGTATAACTAGAACAAGCCGATGAATCTGGGCCCCTTCCTAGAATGTTTAATCGTGAGGCCCAAAAGAGCAGCAGCCGGTTGTGGGACGCCTGGTTCTGTGGCCCAGAATGAAAGTTCTTCACACAAATCTTGCAAGCAGCCAGGTGTGCTGTCTATGATGGAGAGGTAAGATTTCTAATGAACTCTTGAAGAAAACACTTTGGGACCAGGCAGGAAGCAAAGCTTCTGCATAGCTTCTGCAAAAGGTACCTTGTCAAGAATTTTTTCCTGTCGCTGTTGTGGAATACAAGGAAAATGGAATAGCCGTTGTTTAAGAAGACCTCCAGTGCTGTATCCTGTGGAGACAAACCAAATGGGCCCCGGTCACCTTGCAAAAGAAAGGAGAAAACGCTTCTTTCTCTAAGCAATTTCAATGGCAATCATCTAGCCAACCGGCCAAGATCCAGGGATCTTGGGATCCCCATGCTGCTATCCCTAGAATTCATTGTCGTGTTAATAGCACGTGTACACACACGCACACACACACACACACCCTGCTCAGGCAGTCAATCAATTATCCTGAAGCTGAAAACCTGATAAGGTTTCTGCTCGAAGAACCATCGTTTCTGTTGAGCTGGCTCCCCTAGGCGATTCCAGATCTGCTATTGCTTAAAGCATCCCACTGACAGGAAGACTCAGGCTTGGAGGAACTGCCAAAATCAGAAACCACTTTAGCCTGGCAAAACCCAGACAGGATACAAATTTGGGGGTTTATTGAATGTTTATACTTCCCTGGTTTATCGCTGCTATTACTCTTGGTCTGTCCCTATTCAACTCGAAGGCAGGCATGGCATTCACTCCGATATTTCAGAATTCTGCCATCCAAGGAAGCATTGAACAGTTGGTGCATTTATATAATGGTTGTCGATTTCTTTCATTCTAACCTGTTGAGCATCCATCAAAAACTTGACAGACAGGCAGCTGGTTCCTACCTGCAGAAGGAAATGCATCGGCCGGATCTCCTTGATGTCACTGTAGGAATGGCAGGAACACGTGGGCTCTGCAGCCGTGGCCTCCGTGGCATAGCACAAGTTGTAAATGAATGGCTCCCTGATGCTGGAAAGATGAGAGAATGGCTGAATTGGAGTGAACCAAGCAGAGGTAAATGAAAAAAAATGCCCCCCCCCTCCCTCCCTCCACCTGTAATGGGGACTGCAATATCTGGCACCTTCGGGTGGTAGAAATGCCCCCAAAGGCTGTGGTGTAATTAGGATCGGTTGTACTTGACACTTGTATCTCTTAGGTTTTTCCCTCCCAGAAGTGTTTCCTTTCTGCACGTCTGTCAGCCCTTCAGAGTGGACCAGAATAAGACCCCCCCCTCTCCTCCTCGTATGCTCTCAGGTTACAGTTCTGCCTGAACCCCTCCCCTTTTCTTTACCTCAGCCCCTTCCCATTACAAACTGGGAGGAAGTGGCCCCATGTGGACAGGGCCTCCTTTATCAGTAGCCAGCAGTAGGCTGGGCAGCCCCCGAGTGCCGCTCAGGTAGGGGGAACAACTCACCAGGACAAGCAATGGCTGGTGCAATAAACCTCCCCCAGGTGGGACAGAGTGAAGTGCCTGCAGACATAGAAGTGGTCCCGGCCAAGGAGGAGCGCCCCTTCTGACACCACGTGTCCATCAACCATCACCACAGACAGGCGGCAGGTAACCTAAACAGGCAAGATGGTGACGACGGCCGTGCTAACTTTGTCTCCAGGGCTCAGTATTTCACAAATAAAGAATCCTCACGGACAGAGCCCTTCTCAACGGCCTTCCTCCCATCACGTAGCCTTATTCATACTAAGGTCACTTCCCTGCTTCTCTTCCACAGCTTGGTCTGTGGCAGAGTTAATCCACCCTAAGCATAAAAAGAGCAGGGGGGCCAATTCAGCCGGTTCTGACCGATTCTGGAGAACCAGAAGCGGAAACTTTGAGGGGTTCGAAGAACCGGCCAATCCCGCCTCTGACTGGAGGCTTTCCAGTCTCCTTCCCCTGCCACGCCCACCAAGCCACGCCCAGAGAACCGGTGGCAGAAAAATTGGAATCCCAACGCTGCTTCCCTGATGAACGGTTTGCCTCCTGACTGGAATGCCCCCCCCCCCCCCCCCCCCCCCCGGTCTGGCCCCCTTCATTTTGCAACAGGAGAACTTCCAAATTGGGGCCTGGAGGGAGCTCTGACCAGAGCCCTGACCAGGTACGCCGGACAAGAAGCCGAGCGGCTGAGCTGCTTCTCTCCTGCTTGTACCTTTTCACCTCGGACGAATTCCTGCAGGATGATTCTCCTTTCCACACAAACTTCCAAGATTTCCTCCGAATGGAGATGCTCGTGCAGGGCAGGAAAAAATGTCAGCTGATCCCGACCTGCTTCTCCTTCTCCAATCAGGGCTGGTCGTTCACCTGCATTAAGATAAAAGGCAGAAATTGTGCAGCCCCTTATTAGCAGAGGATTGTCCAAGAACAAGAAGATCCTTATATTAGGCTGTAAAGCCTATACGGTGTATTAGATTATATATTAATGAAAAGAAGGACCAGGGGAGACAGGAGAACAGCCTTCCAATCTCTCAGGGGCTGCCCCAAAGAAGAGGGAGTCAAGCTATTCTCCAAAGCACCTGAGGGAAGGACAAGAAGCAGCAACGGATGGAAGCTACTCAAGGAGAGAAGCAACCTAGAACTAAGGAGGAATTTTCCTCACAATTAACCAGTGGAACAACTGGCCTCCAGAAGTTATGAATGCTCCAACACTGGAAGTCCTTAAGAAGAGGTTGGACAACCATTTATCTGAAGTGGTGGAGGGTTTCCTACCTAAGCAGGGGGGTGGACTAGAAGACCTCCAAGGTCCCAACTCTGTTGCTCCATTCCATTCTATTCTATTCTAGACGCTCCGTTCTTTAACTGAAAATATAATCTTTGTTTTTATCATGTAGCTTAGGGACTCTGCTGCCATATGAAAATAAAAATATTTTTTTTGAAAAAACAAAGCGTTTGCTGCCCACTCCTACAAAACACGCCAGCAGGTGGGAAGGTGAGGGTTGGAAATGTTGGGTTTAGTAAAGACTGCCAGGCCCTGTGTGGCCCCTGGGGTCAGGCCAGCATCTCCTGTTTAATCCCAGCCTCTCACCTGGGGACATTACCTGGATTTTCCAAAAGAGCTGGAGCAGCAGGTGCATCCTTCTGGGTCTGTTGGGCCTAGAAAAAGAAAAGCCCAGAAGGCATGGAAGGTGGAGACCCGGCATCCGGAGATGGAGCCAGGCGGCTTCTGCACAGGGGGATGACTCGGATGCGCCCGGAGCCACAGCCAGCAGCCAATAGCAAGAGCCCTTACGGTAGACTTATATATACTGCTCTACGGGGCTTTATGGCCCCTCTCTAAGCGGTTTACAGAGTCAGCCTGTTGCCCCCAACAATCTGGGTCCTCATTTGACCCACCTCGGAAGGACAGAAGGCTGAGTCAACCTGGAGCCAGTCAGGATTGAACTCCTGGCTGTGGGCAGAGTTAGCCTGCAATGCTGCACTCTAACCACTGCGCCGTCCCATCCGCTTATTTCCTTCATGCAGGTGCCTAAGTCACCTGCAACATCACCTCAGCCAGCGGCAGGGGATTCTGATTCCTGCCCTCTTCTCTTTCGTAATTGCTCTGCACCCCACGATCAGTTTACTGGCCCGTTTTGTGCCTTTCTTGGCCTAAAATTCTGCACCGTTATCCTAGGCCTAACCGGGAACTGCAGTAACCGCTTCCCCTCCCAAATACCAGCATCGTCAACAGGCAGCGAGGCTCCCGGCCTGCCAGCTCAGAAGACTAAAAAACACACCCTGAGCTCTTTTATAGCACCAAGCCTGGATCTTTCCTGGCTGGCACTGGCGGCAGCGGAAGGCAAAATTTTAAACTTGTAGTTGCAATCAGCGCAACGAAGTGGCCGGGGATTTGGGGCAGTCTCAGTTGACGAGACCCCCTGGGCAAGAGGAAACTGGATCCCCTTTCCTCGTGTCCTCCTGCCCCGAAGGCAGCTCACCTTGTTCTGCGATGGTTCCGTGTGGGCGGTTCTGACCCGGATCCTCTTCCTCATCCGAGCAGGACCTTCGTAGGCATCCAGGACCCACCTGGTGACAGGAGAAGCTACCGCAGACCCCCACGGGCCCCCCTCCCTAAAGAGCCTGTCTTCCAGGTCTGTCCAGGCTTTGGCAGACTTCGAGTGGAGGCACAGCAGCCTCTGTAGCAGGAAAGAGAGAGAGAGAAACCCTGGCAGCCGAGGCTTCCCCCCACATCCCTCCTCCTCCTCCTCCTCCTCCTCCACTTGCCCAGGAGTTGCCTCTGGGCCTCGAAAGGCAAAGGAGCGCCTCACTTCTTAGAGGTGTGCAAATACCCAAGTGACCTGCAGGAGCTCCAGGGGGTGCCCTGAGTGCCCCCCCCCCCCCCCCCATTCTCCACAAGAGGCAGGTTGGGCCGAGAGGAAAACTCAAAACTGCCCCGTAGGGAAGGCTGGACTTGAACGTCGCTTTCCCCCTCCTTCTACCCCCGCAGCTTAACCAGGGCCGGCCGGTCAGCATCTACTGTGGAATTATTTCTGTGAGAAGGCAGCAACTGACGATTTCGTTGGGGCTGAGGGAGGCCTATTGCTTTTGAAGGGCTACCAGGACTCTTGATTGAACTGCCCTGCCTTGGTTATATTTAAATTCAATCAAAACTAAGTAAATGGGAGGTAGTAGAGATGACTGCATTTAGTACTTTGCTCTACAAAACTCCACCTAGGCAGGATGGGACATCGTGAGAGTCAACTCCTCTTAGCTCACTCAGTCAGGAGCTACTCTTTCCTGTAATTACTTTGAGAGCAATAACTCCGTCATTTCACTCTATCTTAAGCAGACAAATATCAAATCCCCCACTAGAAGCAAATTCCGGTAGTGACTGCTGCTCTATCCCTGTCATACGAGTGTCACAGAGAAGGAAATGTAGACACTAATGCATTTGGGGCTCGAAGGTTTGCATAAAAATAAAATAAAGTAGTATTTTGTAACAGAGAGGGATAAAATGGGAAGAAAGCCACAGAAGGACAAATAAGAATGGAATAACCGGATCAGCGATTGGCTGAAACCTTGATCAGAAGGATTTGCTGTTAGCAGAGAAATTGCACTGCAGAGTTCCGGTTCCATCCCTACAGTAGCAAACAGGAGCTAAATCTCTGCCTGCAAGGGAAACCAAGTCACTCAAAATAAAGAGGGATCTCCCTGCTCAGACAACGTTTTCTTTAAAAGAAGACCAGGAAAGAGAGGACGGGTTCAAGGGAATCGGATGCGTGACAACTCTACTGGATGAGCATAATAATGATTTTATAACTATGAATTCTTTCCTCAATCTTTCCATCTTCTTTCTTTCCCCACTTTTACTAATGTAAATTTCTCAGGGTCTCATCGTGATGGTTGCAGGTATAAATGCGATCAAGGTAACCAATCAGCCAATAAAACAATCCCCTCTCCTTTCTTTGATGCGTCCAATCACGCTTTGTTTTCCCTGCCACTTTTCAGTTTCTTACCTCAACGTGATCCTTGCATAAAACCGCGTACAGTTCTTGGCCAGTTCTCCTGCATTTTTCTAAATATGTCGTAAAACCCTGATTTAAAACAAAAATTACTATTAAATTGATGTCTGTAACAAAACATTTGTGCTTCACATTTGATGAATAAAACTTGAATGAGTTTTAAAATTGTGCTAAGAAGTCTTGGGGTGAGAATCTTGCAATCCTTTCTGTCATGGACCAATCTTTTCCAGGTCCCCACCCTCGACAGACTGGGAAAACCAGTGTGTATGTGTGTGTGTGTGTGTGTGTGTGTGTGTGTGTGTGTGCGCGCGCGCGCTTCAAGGAGAGCGATGGCACAGGTAGAAAAGAAAAAAGATCGGGGGGGGGGATAAAGAAGAGTAGAAGGTAGAAAATGAAAAAAAAACGAAGAAAGATAAAGGATAACAGGATAACAGAAGGGACCTCGGACCTTTGTAGCTCTGCTGAAGAATGAGGCCCTAGAGAATTTGAGAGAAATGGCTCCCCAATCTCTTTTTGCAAACCTCCGGGGTGGGGGTGGGGGGGAGGCCCTTCCACCAGTTGATGGATAGGTAGAACCGGGAAAGAGGCAGAACCAAAGAAAGAGGAGCTAAGATGGGTAGAAGATGGGGCTGAGAGGTGGCAGCAGGAACCCAAATTCAAGGTGGCAGCATTAGCATATTTCAGCAAGAATAGAATGTAAAAAAAAGCAGAAAGAATTTGTTCCACAGCAGTGTCCAAGTTTGAGATCCATACCAGGATATAATAAAGCAACTGGCAGAGTATTTTGGCTTCAAAGATTTGCAGCAGAAGGAACGAATGTTTTCCTCTTTATGAAATTAAAATGCAACGATGCCCTTAGTGTTATTGGTGCCACTCTGTGGTCTGATCTAAGTGCTGGGAACGCTCTTCCTGCACTGACAGAAATAATCCAGATTTAGCAGTAAAATCAGTAGTTTTAAAGAAATGCCGCTTCTACTCTGGTTGTGAACTAGATATCAAAAAAGGCATTCGTGTTGCAGTGGGAAAAAAGTTAATATACATCATTAAAAGCAAATTGTCTGATTGCACTGAAAGAAAAAATGGGTTGCCATGAGCAGTTCTGAAATGAATATCAGATTCAAAAGTCCCCCTGTGTATTTAATGGCATGCTAATTTACATTTTAATTACTTCCTAAGAAATCAAAGCATTTGTTGACAGTGGAACATAATGTCAGCCTCACAGAGCACTGTCGGTAGATGCTTAATGAATTTAATTAGATAATCAGTGGTGTTAATTATCTTTCTATTATGAAGATTAAGATGTTACACAAATGATTAGCAGAAATATAATTAATTATAAATTTGCTTGTTTGGTCTCTTGAAATCGAAATAATACACAGGGCATTATGATAAGTGATTTAAAAGGGATGCTGACATTGCGCCCTTCACATACTGGTGAAGCACCGGCTACGAAAAGGATGGCAGGCAAAACATCTCACATTTGGACAGATGACTTCCTAACGCAGCCACCGGAAATTCTTGTGAACTCAGAACAATCGACTTTTGCCAAAGTATGTCTAGGGGGCCACTACACACACGTCACAGGAGCACTATGTGCTTCCTTCAAAACGTGGTACACAAGGGGTCACAGACACCCTGTTAATAAATGAGTTGCAGTAGGTGTGACTGTGAGTTGTGTTGCCTCAACTTCCTTTGATCTGTCTGGGTGGGCAAAGGGGACTTGCCCGACTACAACATTCAGGCCACCTTTCACTAATTGAAGCCACCGTGTTAAGAAGCAAAGAGGTTGACATGAATATTAAGGCAGGCACCCAAAAACATGCATGCAGAGGAACAGTTAAAAGTTACCAGAAAATTATTAGCTATATGTACAAGAACTTCTGCTTGGATTGTGAAAACAACTATTTCCCCTTTTCTGTTTGAGGAAATAAATATGGTCTGTTTTTAAAGGTAAATTTGGACATTTTGCTCTTTGAAGTCCCTGCCAGCGGGGAGAACAGCTGAATGCTATGAAAATGCTCCATGTTGAGAGTTGCACTAGTGAGCGAAGAAACTTTATGACAATTTCTCCTGGTGACAAATCATTTCCACCTAGGATGAGAGAAGCTCTGATTCAGACATGCCAGTGGAAAGGTATTTATTTTGAGAGGAAACCCTTCAGGGAAGCTTTGGGTCCAGGGTGAGGGAAGATCTATAAAGATCAGGGCAAAGTCACGAGTTTTGGCAAGGAAGAGGCAGAGCCAAAGGGGAAACCTCCCACTGAAAGCAGAAACGGACATTTGGTGCAGAAGACCAACCTCTCCAAGGGAAAGGCCACTTCCAAACCACACCGGCGGTTGGAAAGTCAGGTCATGTGAGGCATCATCTGCTCAGTCTCAGATACACACCAGTTCGTTCTTTGGGGTCAGATATTTTCAAATATCTTCTAATTAAAAGATCCATATATTGGTTTTAATAAGGAGTTCTTTCTCTTTTTTTAACACGATCTTATAGCTGCAATGGCTGACTTCCCCCTATCTTGGTCCCCTGAGATCTATCCCAGGGGGCGCCTAACAGACACCGGGGGGGTGGGGTGGGGGGGGGAGAGGCTCAACGGCACTTGCTTAGATTAAGGAAGGTAGGAAGAGGCAAGAAACCTGGCCATGGATTTTTGTAGCGGTGCCACTCAGCTCCTGTACACTTCCTAGCCCTGGAAGTCACCATCTGTCCGCCTGGGCATCCACCCCCCCCCGCTGTCTCTGGAGGGGCTGAGGGCCGAGTTTGGGGAAGCAAAGCAGCAGGGGACGACAAGCCCCCCCCCCCCAGGCCCCTCTGCAAGCAGGCCAGGTTAATTCCCCCAAGGAGGCTTTGGCCGGGCAGGGCCGACCTCATAAGGCTCCGCGAAGGGCCAGCTTGTTCTCCTGCCCTCTCTTGCTTATTATTGCCAAGGTCCTTCAGCGGGGAGGCTGAGGGGGAAAACAAAACGATCTAGGAGGGAGCGGAAATATAAACCCCCCACGCTCTGGATTTCTTTTCTTTCCAAGGTGCACAAAAGGGGAAAAGCGCCTGGGTGCCCCAGAGCTATAAAGAATGTATCCTCCTGTCTGTCTGTCTGTCTGCCTGTCTGTGGATCTGGAAGTCCCAGAGATCTCCTGTCAGTCACTGAGCCCGCTGCACAACTAATTTTCTCGAAAAGCAGAGAAAAAACACACAATTGCCTGGAGCAGAAAGAGAGCCAAGAGTTGGAGGCTCCGTTGCACGACACACTGCAGGGACGAGTCTATCAGATCTTGTAGTGTCAGTTGCTGACATTACCCAGAACAACACAAAATGAGTAATGTTCCCCTGCAATCCGCTTCTCCTTTAATTACAAGCATCTTCTTCTTAGAAAAGAAAGACAGAAGATGCAGAAAGCTCAATTTCATGCACTTGTGCCTGAATAATGCGTCTACGCGGCCTTTTCCAGATGGCATCCTTTCCTACTATGAGAACTAATGATGTGGGCACATTTAGGGAAAAACCAATAATAGTCTTTAACCTTCAACAGCAAATACAAGTTGTACAAAATGTTCCTTGGGATACATTAACAAATATCAATTACTTTGCTCAGTGATGTGTAATCAGCTGTAATAATCAAAATTAATTTTAAGAAATAATTAAACAGACCCCAAGGCAAATGGATGGTGCCAGCATTGAACAGTAATGTACATTCCCATCACACCTGGAAGGAAGTTACTTTGGCCGAATCTCTTCCTCAGCCAACAAAAGCAGCTACGGAACCAGCCTCGAGTTTGTCCACCAACCGTCCGCTGCCCTTGGCACTCCCAGGAGGGAAAAGGGAGCCCTGATTATTTGAGCCACATTGCATCTCAGCACTAGGACTTCAAGCTCAAGATATTACCCTGCACCTGAGGTTCCCATAGGGGTTTGGAAAGGCAGTTTAAGACAGTTTTGTGTATCACCTGTTTCAGGTTCCTGCCAGGAGTCAGGCTTTCATTCAAAGCACTCGTCTTGCTGGAAGCATTGACGAGAATTTTGCTCTGGGAGTTTTTCTTTTCTGACGCTGGAAGCACAGAGAGAAAAGGAGCAACAAGCACAGTTCAAGTGATTGTGATGTTGTACCACTTCAGGTGCCACACAAACCCCTATTCCTGACCATTGATGCCACCTTGGTGGCTTCAATGTTATCCCACAAAGAGCACAGGCTTGGCAAGGCCCAGGGCAAAGCTGGCATCCCAGCCAGTGGCTGCCAGTTGCTTTTTCCTCTGCCCTGGACGTTTGTGTTCTCCAAATAGCAATCTATAAGACTCTCTCTACTGTTGAGCAATACACAGCATTGTACCCAGCTATGTGGCATTTGGGGCATCTCTGAATCCCACCTGTCATCACCAGTTACAGTCCACCAAACGAATGAAGAAGCTCGGGCCACAATGGGGCCTGTGAACCCTCGCTTGGGAGCACCTTTCCTGGTTACGGACAGTTCCTGGGCCGCCCCCCCCCCCCCCCAAGGCCAAGGAGAGCTGTGCGGTGAAGCCACTTCCGTTAAAGCCTTTGAGTACTTTAAGAGCAGAGACCTAGAAAGCCCTGCCAGGTCTTCCTCATGACCTCTTCCCAAAGAGGAGCCACATCAGCCATCTTCATGGTCTCTTCTTCATCACCCTTCTCTTTAAATAAAGAGGTTTTATAGGCATCCTCTAAATCCTTTCTTCTCCTAGAAAGAAGGCAGAGCCAGATTTCCTCAGCTGCCCTCTGGATCTCTTGCTGAACTGGAAATAAACAAACAGCAAACATGTTTTGGTGTGAAAATATTACAGCAACAAAAGGCCCGGGCATCACTTCCAGACTGAAGGGCCTTCTGAGGTCAGTCTGATCAGCAGCTTTGCGGATATTTAAGGACCCTTCAATCCTTAAAGCAAAATCACTCACAGCATTCCAGATTTTGATGCTGCCTGTCCAGAATGTATGCAGAAATCAGAGCGGACATGACTAAAATAATAAATGACCCATATCTCTCCACGTATCTCATGTAACGTTGTCTTTTTTTGTTGCCATGCAATAAATTATAAGCAATTTGGGTGACAAGGTTTCTATATCTAGTTACAAAATGCACCCATGTTTTAAAGAGACTATAGTAGGTGAGTGTTGAGCTTAGGTCCTTAGTACAAAAGTCATCATAATCCATGTGGGCTGCATTGGCCTGGATGCAATATCTGTTGCTTGGAAGCCATTAATCCATTACTGCGTATTTCTTTTAGTCTAAAAGTTCCAGGTGAAACACCGTCCTTTCCCTGCGAGCTTTTGGACTAGTTCCCTGGGTGCTTGGAGGAAGTACGCAGTTTTTGGAGGCGAACAGGACATCTACAGCAGCCGCCTCCCTTCCTTCTCCTGACCGACCTCCATTCTGCCTCCTTTTCCACACCCATCGTGTCATGTTTACCATCCTTCAGGCCAGGAAGATCACCGGTCCTCTCCTCCTCTTTTCCCAGCCCAAGAAAAATGGGGGAACTCGAAGTCGTCGTCCATTTGGCCTCACCCTTTTCATGGTAGCTGTAATACAGAAAATAAGCAAACCTCTGGCTAAAACCTCTGGAGCAGATTCATTAAGACCACTATCTGAGAAAAAAACATTGGGCTGTGGGTTATTTAATGCAACTTAATCCTAATATATTTCTTTTTAAAGAATTTTCTAAAATACATGCTGATTGTTAAGAAGTCTAATAACCAAGATCAACAACAAAAAAGACATACTTCTTCAATATCTGCTATTTGGGGATTTACTTTGGCCAAACGCAGCATTTCGTGGTGAAAGAAGCGTTTGTCCCTATGTCCCTAGGATGGATTCCACGTATGGATCCATTTTTTTCCCTTTATCCTTCAAACTAGACATGGTGCTATTGTTCTACCAGTGAGGGATTGATGCTGTCATTTCCAAGCTGGAGAAGCCTTCCAAATCTAAACGGAAACAGCTTCTGGGTTCTTCTTGAAGGCAAAATGGCCTTCTACCCAGCTAGCAGAGTTCTTTGTTGCCACGTGTATCATTTCATCTTTTGGACTTTCCTCCTGGTGCCACAGAAGGTTGCAACCTTCTGATAAAACTCCGCTGCCCAAGACCAAACAGAGTTCTTAAGACTTTCCAGGGAAATGGCAAACTGGCCCAGTAAACTACCCAAGAAACAAACCAGAATAAAGCAAGAGGCAGTTGGGGTCAAGAAATATGCCATACTTCTGGTTCGGCAGGAAGTAGGTGACACTATTTATTCACCAGGAACAATCATAGATTGACTGAAAGTTTACTCTCTTGTGACGGGGACTTCATAGTTCCATACATACATAGTTCCATACCTGATGTTGGAATAACCCCTGGCCCCCACCCCTTCCAATTCAGGAATGTCAAAAACTTCTTCCCCCCAGATTTAAAATAAGCTTTAAAGATGAACAGCCTCTCTTTGAAACATGACTGGAAACAAACTGGTCCTTATGAGAGTCATTGAAACTCAGGGACATATCCAGCATATTTGTTCCTGTGTTCTAGATTAAAGTCCTCGAGTTTCTTCAAGATCAAATCTACACTGACCATGCTGAAATCATTCAATGAGTATTGTTGAAATGCATACCCCCGAGGAAACGTATTGTCTCTGAAAAAAGTTCCTGTAAATTTCTGTTCCCTTGCCTAACAGCTCTGCCAGAGTAAGAAAACCCTGCCGTACCTCATAGATTTCAGTTGTAGTAGGCAATACAAAAGGCTTGTGATGAAATCCAGGCTCGAATTGTGCACCGCAAAGATGATATCCCACTGCATCTGAAGAGTTTGTAGAACTTCCAGAAGACTTTGGGACCCAGAAGAAGAATTCGATAAATAGTACAGGATGCTGCGGTTCAAACAGTTGTACAAGTTGCTCATAATGGATTCTTTGTGGAGAAAAAGTTTTCTTGTCACCTGTTAAAAAGAGTCAAGAGGCTCAGAATGCATCGTGTTTAGGGGTAAGACTCACAATGCCATAAAAATATGAAAAATTTTAAAATAATCCTAATCTAAGACACTGAAAAGTAATTATGCATCCAGTTTTGCAACAAAATGTTACAGAATGAGGAAGGAATTTGTTTTTGCTTGTGCTTACAGACATTCAGCCACATGCAAATATAAATGAAAATGTTTCTTCTTTTTGTCTGTTGTTTTTAATCTGTGGCATGTGAGATTGTGCACTGAAATGCATATCTAATAATGATTCTTAAATGCCCGTTTGCCTTGTGCAAAATGTTCTCTAATCCAACTACTTTCCTTCTCCAACAAGCTTGAGTATGTGTGAGCATTCAAGCTATCAATCCCCTCACAATGAAAATTAAATCCATTATAAAGAAAATTTAGGGTAATTATTTGTTGTCACAGAAGTAGCATCCCTGGGGTGGAAACCATCCCTAATAAGCTTACAGCGGCATCACTTGGTACATCTGCTGCTATCTGGAAATGGCTGAGAATGGCACCTGGGGAGGAGGAGGAGGAGGAGGAGGAGGAGGAGAGCCCTTACCAGTTGCACTTGCTCTGAGATGAAAAGGATGGTCTTCCTCGGCTCTGTGACAAACACTCCCTCGTGAAGTTTGCTTACCAGCTTCTGAGTAAAATAGCAAACATTTACTAGAAAATAAGGCCTTGCAGATTCCAAAACATTCCTGGTATCACCGTTTCCTGCAAGGGGGAAGAGAAGGTTGCACTTCTAAAATGCAATCAAATGCTAGATTATATTTACTAATAAATATACTGCTAAATCTAATAAATAAAGTATAGGTAAACATTAACCCTTATACTTGGCAATCAAGCAGTTTAAACTGTTAGAAAAATGTACACCTTCACTGAAGAAACTTTCATTTCTACAAATAATGTTTTGATTAAGAGGTTATTGTGTTATTTATGAATAAGCAAGGCATCAACAGCTTCCTACTGTCTAAGCTCCACTGTACTTGGTCAAAGACCCAAATGGTCAGAAACACACAACCCACAAGGTCCAAAGGGGTTGGGGAGTGGGGGAGACCCTTGGGCCTCTGTCCCACCCTGCCACCTGCTCAGCGCAGGGTTCCTGACTGGAGCAGGCAGGGGGACGTTGCAGACAGACTAGCCTCTACTGCAGCCCATCTGGTGGGGAGGAGCCCAGCCCCCCCCCCCGCCCCCCGCCATAGGGCCCTAGGAGGACTTGCTGAATTAGTTCAAGGTTAATTAGATACAGTGTTCTTTACAAGACTTCCAGCAAAGTGACTTGTATTGCTGTTACCGGCTCCCCAGATATTCAGGTTAGAACATACGGCTAAATTGCAACTTCCAACACTTCGCATGACTGTTTGAAAAAATCTCCTGGGACCTGCAGTTCAGCAATTCCTGCAGGGACCTCACGGTACGTTCTGTGCATTTCAGGCAGGTTCAGGTGGAAAGATGGCTGAACTGCAGGTGATACTCACCTGTTAAACTGGAGGTTTCCTTGTAATTTTGACCAAGGTTGTAGACAATCTCTATAATGGAAAGCAATAGCTCTGTCTGGAAGCACATCTTTTGCTCAATAGCTGCATTCTCTGGAGAGGCCTGTATTGCGATAATATATAAACGATGGATAGTCTTCAGGGAACACTATTGGTTAGTGTTATTAGCAACCTCAACCCCCAAACCCCCATGTTCTTAGGAAGGTTACATTAGAGTGAAAACATTTTCAGATAATGTTTTAAAAGAATGAGACAATAAGAATAAGACAGCAGTTTCCAGAACCAGGCCTTTCCCTCAATAAAAGGTTGGTGGTAATACTCTAATACTCTATTGTCAACCCTGCCGAGGCTGCAGTATGGCACAGAGAGTCATACTTGTAAATCATAAGTTCCCTAAGGAAATTAATCTTGCAAAATCTTCCAAAAACTCTGGAGTGCATGGGGGTGTACAGCAAAAAGTGGGCAAAAGCATCCGCTTCCCCTCTGTTTCATCAAACTTTTCTACTTACAGGGTTCTCCTAAGTAACAATGCAAACAACGAGGGACAGGATGTGTGTCAGTGGCAAGTAAGGGATAATCCCGGAGCTGCCAGTCCTGGAGCTCCCTCCCGCCATCTCACCCCACAACGGAAGGGATAGACAAATGCACCAGACCTCAAGCATGAACTCCAGCGGGTGCCAACTTTTATCCCTCCAGTCCAGCAGCATTATTCCCCTCAGGAGAAGGTGAATCAAGTCCCAAACTTCTTTCCTGACTGGAGGCTGAAATCACAAGAATCACAAAGGGCAGTGCGGTTATTTCCCCGGGAGGAGGCGACGGCCGTGCTGTGGGGACAAGGCCACCCGCTCCCTCCGCCATCTTGGAAAAACAGGAAAGCATCAGCAATCCCAGCGGGACACCGGCAGGTTGTGTTGTATTTCCACAGTTATGTTTTATCCCCCATCAGGAAAACAATAGATCAACAACTGAAATATCAACTGTATAAACATAAAACCACAAATAAGACAGATTGCTAAAATGTAATAAAGCAGCAGTCGTGATGTTAGATGAAATTGCACAGAGAAAATGAGCAAGGGCAGAAATAAAGGATGCTACAAATTAAAAGCCCTTTGAAACCATTTCTGGTGGGAAAGAGACAAAGATGGGTTTTGTCAGAAAGAGTATCCCAGAGCCCCACTCGGTAAGCGAGCTCATCCTTTGCGGGAAAATCCAGAGGCCTCTTCCCCAGCTGGCACTTTGGACTCGCTCAGAACCGTTTCTCCAGGCTCCAAGAGCACATTAGGGCCCCCCGGGCTCCTCACTTGGCTAATGTTCCCATCATCGGGTGGCTGAGTGGAGAGCAATCGCCAGAGCAACGGGGAGTCCTTCCTGAGCAGTGGCCTTTTTGTCCTCCCCACTTCCTCCCATCATTTGAAAAATAAAATAATTATCATTATAATAATAATCTGGTCTCCTGATTTCTGAGACGGCTTTACACTTTTCAGGTTGCAGCTACAGATTATTTAACTCCAAGAATCTGCTTCTCCCTTTTAGAAATTCTGAGCACAAGTTGCTTGTGGTGTGGCTTCCTGGCATTTCCCACCCTGGGGTTTAAATGAAGAGCACCTTGTAGGATGAGAGAAGCAACTTTCTTCCCTGAACCAGGAAGAGAAACAGGACAACTTCTTCAGTTTACGGAATACAAATTAAAGAACCCTTTTCCAACAGTGACCACAGCATGATTGACTTTTGTTTCAACATACATCCACACACAAAAATCAAGACAACAAAGTGATCCCCAGTTATAACTTCAAAAAGGCAACTATGATCTTATAGACAACGATCTCTCATCCCTTGTTTGGCAATTTCTATTCACTGGATGCAATACTGTTGAAGACCATTACAACATATTTTTACTTGAAGTCAAAAGAGTCATCAAACTATATGTACCAATAACAACTCCAAAAACCAGAAAAAACAGATTACCCATAACAATAAGGAAGCTTCAATCCAAAAAGAGATCACTTCGGCGGAAAAACAAATCTGGTCACGTTGCCAACTTCAAAAGCGGATTCAAAAATTTACGCCACCAGATAAAGACTGAATGCACCAATTATCACATTAAACAATAGGAAAACCTTCTACGCACAATTCCACCCGTGCTTTCTACAAGTTTGTAAACAACAAACTAAAAGACTCAACGTCCACCCCAACCCTGAAAGGACCTAATGGTAAAGACTGCAATGATGACACCATTAAAGCCAACCTCTTTAACACATTCTTTGGCTCAGTATTTGTAAACAGCAATGGATCATGCCCAGTATTTCCTAGTCAATCCACAGACAACTACAATGATCTAATACATATCGATTTTACAGAAGACAATGTTGAAAAAGCACTACACAATCTAAAACCATCTCTATCTATTAGACCAGACGGAATATGTGCCTACTTCTTAAAAAAGCTATCCACTGCCATAGCCGAACCTCTAAGCATAATCTTTGAAAAATCTTTCAGGACCAGCTCCTTGCCAAAACTATGGTCACAAGCCACGATCATCCCTATCTTCAAAAAAGGAGACCCCAGCCTAGTTGAAAATTACAGATCAATCTCTTTATGCTGCATCACCTGTAAAGTCATAGAATCAATTATTAATTAATCCATTATCCTCCACTTAGAGACAAACAACCTACTCTCTAATAAACAATTTGGTTTCAGAAAAAAACTATCCTGTAATCTGCAACTCTTACACTGCAAAAACATATGGACTACACAACTCGATCAGGGCAAAGCAATAGACGCAATCTACATAGACTTCTGTAAAGCCTTTGATTCAGTGCTACATGACAAACTACTCCTAAAACTAAAATCTTATGGTATTTCTGGACACCTGCATAACTGGATAGAAGCATTTCTGTCAAACAGACAACAAATGGTCAAAATTGGGAACCTCCTATCAAATTCTTTACCTGTCAACAGTGGTGTCCCCCAAGGCAGTGTTCTAGAACCAACTCTCTTCATACTCTACATAAATGAACTCTCTGATCATATCAAGAGCAACTGTGTTCTCTTCGCTGATGATGTAAAGCTATTCAACACCACAGACAATACTGCTACCCTCCAAAAAGACCTTGACTATGTTTGATCAGAATGGTCAAACAAATGGTAACTTCAAATCTCAACAAATAAATGCCCTGTCTTACATATTGGCAAAAAAAATCAGAAAATAAAATACAGGCTGAATTGTCAAGACCTTGTTGATGATCCAAACTCTGTCAAGGACCTTGGAGTACTCATCTCTAATGATCTAAGTGCTAGAGCCCACTGTAACTACATAGCCAAAAAGGCATTAAGAGTTGTTAACCTAATCTTATGTAGCTTTTTCTCTGGTAATGTTACACTACTAACTAGAGCATACAAAACATTTGCTAGACCAATACTCAAATACAGCTCATCAGTCTGGAACCCACATTATGTATCTGATAGTAACCCAGTTGAGAAAGTCCAGAAATATTTCACAAGAAGAGTTCTTCACTCCTCTACTTGTTGTAGAATACCTTATACCACCAGACTTGAAATTCTAGACCTAGAAAACCTAGAACAATGCTGCCTTCAGTCCAGTCTAAGTATAGTATATAAAATCATACATTGCAATGTCCTACCTGTCAATGAATACTTCAGTTTCAACCATAACAATACAAGAGCAAACAATAGATACAAACTCATGGACAACCTTCCTAAGAGGTCTGTAGGGAGCGTGCATAAGCACACCAACGTGCCTACTGTCCCTGCCCTATTGTTTCTTATATTTTTTTTTATATCAATCCATTTATTCATGACTATGTTTTTACTTATACTTATTATCTTGAAAGCAATTGACAAACCAAAATAAATAAATAAATAAATAAATAAATAAATAAATACTTGTAGCTGGTTAAAAATCAGCATTTCCCCATATATTAGAAACAGCCTTATAATGTCTAGACCATTTATATGCTGCCTAAAAAGTACATCCTAGGCTTAGATGCAAAATTAGACCAAGCACAGTTGAAAGTATGAATCATTTATTGATTCATTTTATGGTCTGTCTTTTCCTTCAAACTGTTTCTCAAGGCAGTTAGCATTTCTTTCATTTGCCTTCTGACTGACTGAAGACTTCAGTTCACTTGGGATTAGGCATCAATTTGTTTTCTATCATCTAATCATCTGGTACGATTTGAATATCGTCCTTGAATGTCAAATTTCAGATTCAGCCATAAGAGGAATCATATCGTCTGGATCTTAGATTTATCCAATTAAAAAAAATCAAGTATTCCAATTCCTCAAGATCTTGTCTGCCTCTGTACCAACTCCTGGTCTGTTCCATCACCCCAATTATCTTTACTTCTATGGGGCTGGCTGCTTGCTGAACCAGCCTATTGAACGGAGCGGAGCGGAATCCGTTCCAACTGGACAGAACAGCAGCCCTTCCTACCTGGGGTGGCCCAGAGGGGAAGGCAGCCAAGGCCAGGGCTCGGAGGAAGGTGGGGCTGGACCAGAGTGGGTCCTGAGGGTATCTGTGATACAGCTGACGGACAAAGTGCAGGACATCCATTAGGAAGCTGGTTTGCCAGGAATCCTCTCCCTCAGCTGGAATCTAAAGGAGAACGTAAAACTTAGTCATGAAGTTTTATCAAACAGCCATTCAATTATTTAGGTTTTACTTTGACTGAGAGAACAGAAAATAAATGAGTGGAAAGTAGAAATAATAGCAGAGAAAGAAAAGCTTGGACCCTTTTGAAGAACTTGAGAACGGCTTCCTGCCACGGAGTTGAAAACTGGACTTGGCTCTTCTTTCTTCTTCCCCTTTCAGGGGAATCTGTCTTTCTTTTCTCATTCCTCATTTCCATCCTGTTTTGGGGGGGTGTTTCCTCCTCCCTGTGCGTACTTTGCTCCCTCCCTCCCCACCCTGTTTAGTTTTATTTTAACTGAATTTTTACACTTGCGGCCTTTATTGTTTCAATGTTTTATACTGCATTTATTCAATGTCTAGGATCACGTTTGGCAAGAAGGGCAGCAAATAAGTTTGGTTGAATAAAATAAACAAACTACCGCATGCAACCGAAACCCAGTTGACAAACAGGGATTGGCATCCTAAACAAACGTGCCTCCCTCCAAATGCCTTCTGCAGGGCAGAAGCTCCAGTCTGAGAGTGACCCTGCAGACCAGGTTTCCCGCCTATTACTCGCATGTCCTTGAACCCTTTTCCTTTTCTTTTGTTCTAAATTTTGTACTAAATTCTCAAAATGGCCTGAGCTCAGATGTGTGTCCATGGGGCTGCTTCACCCTCCCAAGCGGCTGTGGGGCTCCATCCTGCAAGAGGCCCAGGACAGTAACTCACCTGCCTGGTGAGGGACGAGACCATCTCCAGCAACAGGACGGCGGCCTCTGCACACAAGCCAGCTTGGACTGCTGCCTCCGTGGGGTGATGGCACAGCAGCCACTGCAGCGTTGCACCCAGGCCGGCCTGCAAAAGGAGCGTCTCTCTCGTGAGACCGCAGAAAGTGTCCCAAAGGACGAACCACAGCCCACTGCTCAGCAACGGTGCGGGGTGGCTCCTCCTGAAGCAGTTAGGCCTGCTGCCTTCCCTGGAGGGGACGGGGGGGGGAGCGGATGGGGGGGAGCCTAGGATTCTAAGGAAAAAAGATACTTCCAAAACCGCCATCGGACTCCAACGGGATTTCTGCTTCTGAATTCTATCCAAAACATGGGCAAAGGAGGGAACCTGAATCAAGATACTGTGATGCAGAGTCTTATGACACCAAAATAGGTAAATCAGGAGCAGAACTCGCACCGTCTTATCACAATGCACATTTGAGAAAGACTCCTTTGACGCGGATAGCCAGAATGAAGAAAACATTTGCTCAATTTGTTGTTCCTTAAGTTTCTTTGTGTTAATAAAAAGTATTCATTGGTACATTTTTGAAAAAGAAAATCAAAGAAAGAAAAATGTGACAGAAGGACTATTTATATCAGCATTTTTTCTGTTATGCTTACTTTGTAGATGCACATCATCATCTCAAAAAATTAAACAAGATATACCTGAAGGTGTACCAACACACAAAGATTTTGTGCGGTTGAATCACTAACTATCTGGGAGAGGTGGATTGCGTGGCATAGAATCCTAGAGAGTGACTGAAACTTCCATTTGTGAACCTTCAGGACAGGCCCATCCAGCCATTTCTGTGAACGTTTCCTTTGGAAGGTTTACTCAAAGTCTCTGTCCTTTCGCTTTACTCAATGAACTATTTCAGCTTCTACAAACTTTTTTCCCACCCGTGACCGTGTCAGCGCAGTGGCTTACTTGAGTTTCATCAGGAGGGTCGGACACTGGTGTGTCCAGAAGGAGTCCTGAGAGAAGGAGGTAAATCTCAGGGATGTGGGCTGAGCTGCTCAGGAACATCTGTAGCTCCGTTAATCCAGAGAGCTGATATGGGTGGCACTCAAACAACTGCGGAGAACTCTTCAAATTGTCTAAAACAAAGAATGAGAAGATTTTTTTCAGACTCTCTCTGAACTGACTTACAGGATAAAAGAAGAACAAGTCCCCAGGAAGGGACTACGCTGATCTTATTTACCCGAGGAAATGCTACACAGCACAGCCTTCGGGGGTGGCTGGTCCCAGCAGAGAAGCTCCTACAGGGTGGCAGCAGGGACCCCGCTAGGCCCTCCGGAGTCTCCTTAGCTGGGATTCTCACGGGCTGCTCTGAGGGACAGAAGCTCACCCGCCACGGGGGGGTGGGGGTTGGCGGAGTTTGCCACTTTCTCTGGCTGAATGAAGGGGGGGTGACCTACCAGTTGGATATGCTCCCCAAGACCCCACTGCACGCTCTTCCCTTTCGATGTTGGCTCTGCTGATTTAAACTTTCCTACTTTCATTGCCGTCTCCATTAATACCCAAAATAAAACAATGTCTCAACATGGATTGCTTGATGGTTTATCAACCCAATAACCAGAATTGAATTGTATTGGCCAGCAAATAAGACACCAAAACCAGGGCTCTCTCCTTTTGACTGAGCCGCTAAAGAGCTCAAACCTGAAGCCTGAAAGATCAGGCCCAGAGCGGAGGAGGCAAGAGCTGGGATGCTGGCCTTTGCTCAGATTGGATCAGGGTTGTTTTTAACAAAAGGCAAACACACCTTAAAATAATTAATAAATTCTACGGGGGGGGGGGGGGGGGAGAGATGATAGATTTATTGAAATAATTAGCCACGATCCACAGCCAGTCTCAGCATCTCATTGCAAGCCAACCAGACGCACGGAGGGCCTACCAGTCAAAATATTCAGCCCCTCTAAGCTGTTTCTCAGCCAGCGGCCCGCCATCATCCCCTCTCCGAACTCATGCAGGTGAGCAGGCTTGTGCAGGAAATGGAAGAGCAGTTTGGCTGCCAGGACAATTGTGGTTTCATGGACGTGACTTTGCATAAACATCAGGAACCAGTCAGGGCCCAAGGCCTGGAACATTTCTTCTTGGATCCTGTGAGGGAAACACCGGATTGAAAGACACAACACTTTTAGGTTGTTTGTTGTAACTGTATACTACATGGTGGACTTACTAGGACAGCAGAACGGGGAAAAATATTGGTAGCTCCTGAGCTCCTGTTGTGCTTTTAAAACCCCTCAGTTATCCCAAACGTGACAGAGACCCAGTTACAGTCTAATCTTAATCTTGTTCACATAGAAACAAATTCCTCTCATTAAGTAAAAGCAACACAAGGTGGAAATGGATCTTGAGGTTTGCGCACCTCTGAAGCAAAGGAGGGCTCCCCCGCTCAAGGGGTCAAGGCTGGAGAGGGGCTTGGCTCCCCTTCCCCGGAAGAAGTGCCTTCCCTGCAGCTTCAGGGATCCTGGTGGGAGACGGGATCCAGGGCCCTGCAGGCTCTTTATGGGTTGCGGGGTGGGGTGGGGTTAAAAAGTCTATATACTGCCAATTCTGACACCTCTGGGCAATTCATAAGAATCCTGCTTGGATCTGCCATAAGATCCAAACACTATTTATCTCATCTCATCTCATCTTATCTCATCTTTATTACAGACTGTAGAGCAGAAAACATTCGGGATAGAAAACAGAGCCAAAAGCTTGGTTGTTCTCCCATTCCCCCCTTAACTTTCCCTATTTCAATATCTGTGTCACTTTCTGATGATTACACCGTTTATTATTTTAAATAAAGTGATTTGTGGCTTTGATTACTGGACAGGTTAGATAATAGAAAAAAAGTGTTAGAATAAGAAGTAAATTTATCACTGTACTTTTAACTGCTGTAAAGAAGATTGTATACACACAGACCCACAGACACACGTTCTTACTTACTCAGAGGACAAATGAAGTTTCTCCGGTTGTATTACATCTAGCAGCATGCTCAACAACTGGTTTCGAAGCCAGACCATTTTCCCAGGGGCCTGAGTTAAGTCTAAAAATCAGACAATCCAAAGAATGTATGTGAAATTCTGCATTTGAATATGCTGGACTTCTAATGAATGCATGATACAAAACAAAGTGAGATTCAGCAGATAATTCCCCTGAACTGGTAGTAAGAAACTCTTCAAATATGAGATTTATCCCTTGTTTTACTTTGCCTTGTCCAGCTAATACGTGCTCTGTTAGGAGGAATGGACACTGCGTGACCAGGCTTTATTCTTAAGTTTATGGTCCGCCTTCCAAGGAAATGTCCTTTTTAGCCAAAGACTTTTCTTTGCAGGAGGCAGCCTGTTTGGGCCCCACTGTTAGATACGCCCTAAGGTACTTGGCCCCCGGGGGTTTCCTATCAGGTGAAGCATCCCCGCCATCTCTCTTTGGGCAGAGAGGCAGGAATATTGGGGCTGCCCCCCTCCCCACCCCATGGCAGCCATTCTTGAGGGCAAAGCAAGCGGCAGAAAGCACCTTGTGGCACCATAACTTTCTGTCTTCTTTCCATTCCTGCAAAATGGAGTTCAAGGTTTTTTTTTATACATAGACGCTTTGAGCTCCTAGCTATGAGCAGAGCAGTGAGTAATAAAAAAGACACAAGCAGCTTTTGGAAGTTTTTCCATATATTTCAATTTTGGTTCCAAGGAGATTTTTTTTTTAAACTCCAAGCAAGTTTAGACAGAGAGGCATTTTTATGCTCTCCTCTTCCTCCTCCTCCTCTTCCTCTTCCTCCTCCTTCTTCTTCTTCTTCTTCTTCCAGTTTCCCTTTAGATGGGGAGGTAGTGGAGCCTGCAGATGGGGGCTCCAAAAGAGATGGTGAGGGAAGCATTACCTGACCTACCAGGTCTGGGCAATGTTCGCTTCCCTGCCTGGCTGAGCAACTGCTCCAGCTCCTGCTGTTTTCAGGCTTGGTGCTCCCTTAAGAGCTGAAAGGGGGATATGTGCTGCTCCAGCCTCCTTCTCCTTCTCTCCACCACTCCTCCAGCCTTCCTTCCACCTGAGGCGAACTTAGGTCTGGTACTTATTAGGCAGGAACACAGGCCCCCTCCAAGCCTTGCTGTCACAACCATAGAGTGGCATCTGCTCCCATTTCTTATGAGAGACAAGCACCAGCAAGTCCTTCATTCTCTGCTGCAGGGGTGATGCCTTCATGCTCCATTCTCTCAGCCCAACTTATATCTTTTCAGGAGTCACAGGACTAGAGTTTGGTTTTGAGAGGCAGAATATCAGCAATAAGTAGCTACAGATGCCAAGAAGGACACGGCTGAGACATGAGGGCTACAGGACTCTTATATCGCATGCTATTTCTTGACGTGTAACCTGAGCAGACCTGCTTCAAAACGAGGCATGATGCAGTGAGGCGTGTTCTGTGACGTCACATTGTCCTTCCATTGTGATGTCCCACGCAAATATTTCAGGGTTTGAGTCTGCATTGCAATGCATGTTTTATCACTTGTCCACCTCCAGATGTCAAAGATGCAAGCCATTGTGTGCCTTATTTTTATATTACAGGTAAATAAAAATATTCTAAAATATTTTTAGCAACATACAATTCTGCTTCATACCTTGTCCAAATGGCTCTGAAATATTATTGGAGAAGATCTCATTTTCATTAATAGATGCAGGACATAAAGTGTAAACCAAGAATAAGCCAATCCTGAACAAGGAAAAGTAAATTGTTTAGATCAAATTGCAAACATGAAGACCTTCAAATCACTTTTAGAGGGAACCCCTAATATTTTACAGGTGGCTCACAGGAGAAATAAATATTTCCCTACTTCCTCACCAAGAAGGAAGGTGAGGCTACTCGCGAATCTAAAATAGTAAGTTTGTCATAAAGAGAAGCTAAGCCTCCTCTGAGGTTGCAAAGGAGGGCTTCTCCTCCTCACCAGCTTCAGCTCATAGAAGTGCGCAGGCAGGAATTAATGTCCCCATTTTTTAAAGTTGCTAACACTTCGGTAGAAAGAAGAAGGGAAACCCAAGGGAACCCAGGGGGGAGCCGAGGCATTGCTGTACAGGGGCAGCCCCCACCCAGTTCCTCTGGGGTTGACCTAGCATGGATGAACTGCCCCTCTGCTCTTCCCCCCCCCCCCACCGCCACTGATGGAGCTGGTGAAGTGGGGGCGGGTGGGGGGCAGTCCTTCGTTTTGTGGCTGGAAAAAAGCAAACTCTGCACTGAGGAAAAAATCTTTGGGCTTAAGCTTCAGGGACACAGGGGCTCCATTTGCTGGTGGGCTGCAGGAGCCGAGTGGAAATACCAGCACAAATCTTTGAGGCTGAAGTGTCCCTGGAGTGAATGGCGGAGGAGGAGAGAGATCCGACGGACGCGAGAGGCCGGGATCCCAGGATCCCCAAGGAGGAGGAGAAGCTTGGGCACCATCCGGACCTGCTGGATGAGGGCCACGGCCGAACTCTTTCCGCTGTGAAAGACAAAGAGATGGGGTTTTTTTTAAAAAAAAAGAAGAGAGAGAGAGAGGTTTTTCTTTTCCTGAGGTTAACATAGCCACAACATTATTTGTATTTCTACTTTTGAACTTTGGCTTCTGACGTTGTCTTGGCAGCTCTCAAGGTACCAGCCATCCGATCAGATTCTCATCCAGGTCACCTTCTGCTCCGCATCGACTCTGCTCTTCTCTTGAATGCTGCCCAGCAAAGAGCCTTCAAATCAAACCCATTATTGGTTCCTGGAGCTGCACAGCACAGGAAGTAAGTGCTGCCTTGACAAAAATCACTCTGCTATCCGAATCCTGGAGAGCTTCTCAATAGAAAAGAAATGGCATTCACAAATCTTCAGGGTTTGACATTTACAAAGCAGGAACGCCGTTCTGGAATCTCCGGACCCTGCATCGTGCTTCCATAAGCACGTGCAGAAGGACAGGGATAAATGCGAAAAGGTGCAGTGAAGTCTGGGGTGGTGTTTTTTGTTTTTTTTTGTAAAAGGGAAAGGCATTATTCCTCTGGAGTTTTAGATGCCATAATGAAGAGTTTTGTCCCTGGCATGGCTGCCATGGGAGCCCAGGAGGGCAGGGGCCATTGCTGGCCCCCTCAGCTGAAGAGGCGTCTCTGTACCTGGAGGACTGGAGGACTTCCGTGAGGTGTTTGAAGAGAGGCGGGTCCAGGTTCTCCAAGGCGGGGCTCCACAGCTGAAAGCCAGAGGGAAGCAAAGCAACAAAGAGAGGCCGTTGGGTCTGCATGCTCGAGTGGTGTGTGTGTCGGGGGGGGGAGTCCCCTAGGAAAGGGGAGCAAGCGGGCATCTCTTTCTGCCTTCCAGTCCTCCAGGGGGTTGCAGCTCAGTTATGGTCCAGGATTCTTGTTAGAAAACTGGCAGGGAACTGTGGGGATATCCAGGACTCCTGGCAATATTTTGGGTCAGGGGCTTCTTTTTATAGAGAGGATCATTCCATCAGAGTCGCCTCAATGACATGGGTGAGGCAGATGTCTAATAAACAATATATAATATGATATATGATATAATATGACCAGTGATGGGATTCATTTTTTTTTGCTACCTGTTCTGTGGGCGTGGTTGGTGGGCGTGGCAGGGGAAGGTTATTGCAAAATCTCCACTCCCTCCCCCCCCCAGCCTGCTTTCCAGCTCTGTTCTCCTGTGCAGGGCAACCAAAGAAGAACCAGTCAATCAGCTGGGACTCAATGGGAGGCCGAGAATAGATGAGGTTGGCTGGGCCAGTCAGAGATGGGGTTGGACGGTTTTCCAAACAACTCAAAATTTCCGCTACTGGCTCTCCAGAACCGGTCAGAACCGGCTGAATGCGCCCTGAATTTCTGTCTCGGGTTCTGCTGTCTCATATATACTGAATAGGCTTCCCAGGAAGGAGACATCTCTGTATGCCCGAAGTTTTTTTCCTCCCCAATATGTACTTTGAGACGCTGATTGTCATGGCATAGAGTAATTTTAATTAATGATGCCTCAAAAGTGAGCAGGTTCACAGTATTATTATTTTTTTTACTGCCAAAAAAGGTTGGGGAATTTTCTCTACATTTATTGAGAGTCTATCATCAAATTCTGGAAGTAAAATTTTAGAAAGATTGTGTTCTCCAGGGGCTAAAACAATGCATCAGCCACAGGTTACTCATACCTTGCTGCCAATAAATAAACAAGTAAATAAATGAATAACGGCATCATTACCTCAAAATTGCAGACAATATGTTGGAAGATCTTCAAGTTCTTGATTGTTGACTGTTCTAAGCCAGCTTCTGTGGTGCCACCAATGGAAAGAACGAGATGTAGAATTCTGCTGTTTAATAGGTGGGCCTTTGTTTTCAACAGATATGCCAGAATCTGTAAGAGAATATTACCCAAAATCACAACAAAGAGAGGCTTATTCCACAGTGTTTTATTTCCATCACTGGGTAAGCCATCAATAGCCGACTATTCAAATCCATGTTATTGCAGAATATGGACATTTAATTAATTGTATGGAAAACCCGCAGCATTATGAAGATTCAAGGTAGTCACAATACATGGAAAGTAATGATACTTGTCAACTTTGACCTCATTCAGAATTCTCTAAGCATTCCCATTTTTCAAAGATCAAAGGACAACAACTCTGCTTGTCCCCTTTAGCTCCACACTTTCTTTTGAAGCAGAGCTTCAGCCACCAAACAAGGACTTGGGGAAATCCATCCTGTTAGGAATGTAAGTCACCTAACATTTGGGTTGGAAAATATATAAACCAGGATAGACATTTTAATACTGTCTCTTTAAGGGAATACTAAAATTGTAATTGGGCGTGGTTCCTCAAACAGCCTTAAGATGGAGCCAGAAACCTGGGTTGTTTAGTCCTGTTCTGTTGTTGCTGAGAGTGTTGCCATTCCTACGTTTTCCTGTTGACTGTTGCTGATCATCGTTAGTCTTGGATTTGATGTAAGTCTGTTACTGAACTGTTTATGATACTGGACTTTGTTATTTGGATTATTCCTGGACTGAAAACTGACTGCTTTAACCATGAATGACTTGGACTGTTTTGTTGAACTTTGCTTAACCATTTTTACTGGAAGTAAAAGCCTACATTTTACTATACAGTGTGGCTGTGTGCTGTGTGTGTGTTATTCTTCACTACTCTCACTACGTCTCCCTGTGTGCGCTCATTGTCCTAATGGGGAATTACCTCAACACATCACTTCTGGGAAATGAGACTAACTGGCCTTTTGACTTCCCTCCCGGTCTGACTGGCTCGTCCACTGGAGGAATTAAAAGAAAATGACTCGGGCTTTCTAGTTACAATAAAAACAAACAAAGGGAATTCTTACCATCAAGAGTGCTATTGGAAGGGGAAGGTTTCTATTATTAGGAGGACTCCAAATTCCAAGTTCCAAAACTTTTGGGAGGGACTGGGGAAAATGCCTTATCTCCTCCTCCAACAATAGAACAAAATGATCGTGAAAATTCATATTAATTTTGAATATGAAAATATTGAAAGAATGTTACAATCCACATTTTTGCAATGGATTTCCATGTAAGCCACAAATTGGATTGCCCTACCTACTTGCTGCCCAAGTACTGCAGTTCTGAATCAATGCGCAAGCACTGCCAGCCTAAGAATCAGAATTTTAAGCTCCGATTCTAAGAGCTGCAGAGACAAAGCTGCCTCACCTGATACCCTTCGTCCCCCATCAGGCGGTCACTCACTGCGCTGCAGCTCAGGACAGTCTGCAAGGCCTTGACGGCCGCATAAACTGCGTGGTCATCCTGAGCCCTGGCCAGCAGAGCCAGCAGAAGGGAAGGGCCGCCCAGGTAGCTCAGGCTGACCACTGCCGGACAAGACTGGAAGACCCGGGCACCTGGACACAGAGAGAGAAAAGGCGGGCAGGAATTGAACTATCACTGAAAACCTGCCCAGGATAAGATGAGCAGCCAAAAACTTTCCAGTAATGTGTAGAAACAACAAAAAATAAGAAGACTAATAATTTAGGAAATCAAATATTTTCTCATGCTACATGCAGATTTACAGAAGTCTAGTAAACCTTTTACACCAGTAATGCAAATCAGGCCTCAAATGCTGATTACTAGAAAGATCAGTTGTTAAAGGCACATGTTTTTGCCCTGCATTTAACAAGAAACCCACACTTGTGCTTTTTAGGACAATTATTTCTACTTCATGGGCTTTGTACCCCTTGTGTAAAATCCTAACATGAATCTGACTACTTAATCACCAGCAAAAAGCTAGTCTGATTAAAATGCCTGTCCCAAAGACAACAATCCACTCACAGCTCTTTCCAGAGCAGAGGCGACCCTTCCATGTAAGCAGACCAAAAAAACCCACCCCAACCTAGCAGATCACAGAATTGTCCAGGTCGGTTGCATTGCGGGAATTACAAATATTGTAATAAGGCCTTTTCAAATAAGGCCTTTTCAAATATTGCTCTCACCACACAGCAGCGTTTTCTTCTTTCTTTCTGAATGCCTCCCTCAGGATCAGGACAATCTTAAATTTCCTGACCAGCCCAGCAATCTAGAGGTTCCTGACCACAGAACTGGCCTCCTTTCCTGATGGCAAAGTCTTCTCCTTCTTCTCTGTCCTTTTGGGGGCAGGCAGTGGAACGAGGGCTAGGGTTAGGCGTGGGGCCAAATTCATGTTAAGAAGCTGCAATTTCTGTATAGGACGCAGCTTTGCATTTCTTTTATATTTCTGTCCTTTCATTTTACAGATTTTACTTATCAATTCACTCATCACATTTCTACCCCGCCTGTCTCACCCAAGTGCCTCTGGGTGGCTCCCACTTCATAAACGTGGGCTCATCAGGATGCATTTCGGCTTACCTTGCTGGCCCACCACAACAGCACCGATCGTTCTTAAGCACCCTGGGAGCTTTGCAGCAGTATTTTGAGCCATGAAAACAGGCATTGTAGCATCACGAGAGGACAGCTTCAGCTGGAAAGAGAAAGAAAGAAAGAAAGAAAGAAAGAAAGAAAGAAAGAAAGAAAGAAAAAGGCATGGTGTATTAGAAGACCAAAAAATATGGAAAACATGTTTCGGTTTGTTTCTTAAACATTTCAGAAATTATGCTGTGTGATTTATATGTTTACAATCTATTCAGTTTGATTTTAGAAGAAATAGTTTAGATGTTCACCAAGAGTTTCAGATCAAATCCTGAGCTACATGGAAAGTGATTTTTGGCATAATTGGCATGCAAAGAAACCAGGGTGAAGTTACAGTTTCTGTGGTACCCAATTCTCTTATTTCCCAGATAATGCCAAGAGATTCTGGAGTCTGTGCGAGGCCTACAGCTTTCCCGCAGAGCTGCTGCCCACCCAAAGTGTCCAGCTTTGAGCTCACAGGAGGTGGGGAGGCCGCTCGGTCTCAGCTGCGTTCTCCAAGTGCCCTGAGCCTTTGGGACGAATGCGCCACTCTAAGGCTGGGTGGGTGGCACACAGCTGGCTTTTGTAATGTTAATGGTCACATCTCAGCGGTTGCCACACCAGCGAAGAAGTGTAGATTTCTCACACAAAATGCCAATTTTATGACACTGAGAACCAGTATATCCAACTGGGGGGGGGGGGCTGCAATGGGATAGCCTGGAAAGGCCTCCGTGAGCCTCCATTCCTCAGGTCAAGGATTAGATTAATCAGCTGTACTAATAAAGCACCTATTTAATCTAAATATGTCATCTCTAGGGAAACGCTCTTTCCCAAATGTTTTTTAACAAGAAAACCTCCCACTCTTCTTATCTACTGTATCTTATGACCTGGCTGACTTTGTGTGAATTACAATCAAAATAAGTTGAGGCCAAACTGAACCCGAAAGTTGAAAAACAGGGTAAGAGAAGCGAATGGCAAATAACTTCTGTACTGTTGGGAGGAAAATAATAGCAGCCCCTCCTTGCTTAGAGTCTCAGCACTGGGGTGGCCTAGACATATGTGCAATAATAAATTGCCAGCCTTTACTTTTCCCCTCCCTGTCACCTTCCTCCTGGAGTAGAAAGCCAAGACTGCAAAACTGCTAGAAAAGGGGTGGCTTACATTTTATGATACTTTGTAGTGAGAACATGGGGACAAGTTTAATTCCACATTCCTGGAGTCCCTCAACATCAGGCTCTTTTTAAGGCTGCTGCTGCTTGGACAAAGCGTGTCTCTCATACTCAGTGAAGGCAGCCTGGCCAAACCTCCATGCCTAACTAGCCTCTGAGGAACGGGACCCCTCTTGTTTTGCTGTGCACCAAACGATGCAAAGGTCACACCTCTTTAGCCACCAGGCGCCCATCCACTTCACCATAGCTGTCTTTTATGTCTTTGACTGTTGTATAGGAGGAGCATCTGGTGTTGATCCCGAAGGAAATCTTCTCTGGTGCCACCAAAGGAGCCATCGGCCTCTGGCTGCAGGAGCCTTGAAGGAAGAAAGGGACAAGGCAAGGGATCAAAGGAAGCCAGAAGTTCTCTGCTAATCAGTCTCCAGTTCCAAAAATCAACAAACTCCTTGATCTGCTTGACCTCCCCCCACGCTTAAACAAGGCAGGCGATGCTCCGAGCCAAAATTACGTTTCCTCAAAGCAGGCGCCCGCATTTATTTGGACTGATTTCAACCATCACATATTAATGGTTGCAAGTTCTTTGGGGGGGGTGGAGAGAAATTGTAGTTGGCGGGTCAATGGCTGGCATATTGCCCAGACTTAATTAAACCTAATTTTTTTCTTCCACAATAGTCTATTTTTATTTCATTGAACATTTCCATCTCGCAGCCTTGTTTTCTGGATGCTTAGAGAATTCTATGGTCCTAAAGTCTGCATTGTTGCTTGGGAGAGTTACCTGTTCCTCTGTACATTGTGTCAAAATAATTCCACAGCTGGATCTGCTTTCTCTGCCTTCCCATGACTGAATCCAACGCAGGTTGAAAGACAAATAGACTACAGGAACAGTCGCACAACCAGATCGAGGGAGGTCTCAATCCCACAAGAGAGTTTCTGCGAAGTCCCTGCAGTTATAAGAAGTCCTACCTCTAAGCTCCACAGCCTGGAAATTGCTGTAGTATCTCGGACCAAGTTTTTCCATAAGCTGCAGAGTTTTCACGGAGAGAACTTCTTCAAATAAGAACATGGGGCCTTGGCGCCAAGACAAGGAAGACCTCTTTTTCCACATCAGCGGTGTAGCCACAAAGCCAAAGACATCAATAAAAGAAGTGGGGTCCATAGAAGTGAAGCTCCCTGGCAGCGACCGGATGTACTGCATCTGTAGTAGAAGACAAAGGAGTGGCTGAAATCCTTGTGGTGCTTTCTCTGTGGAAGGCAGGACAAGAAGCAACGGATGGAAACGAATCAAGGAGAGATCCAACCTACACTAGGATTGAAGAGAAACTTCCGGACAGTGAGACCTATCAACCAGTGGAACAGCTTGCCACAAGAAAGTTGTGGGTGCTCCACCACTTTTCAAGAAGAGACTGAACAGCCATTTGTCTGAAATGGTATAGGGTTCTCCTGCTTGAGCGGGGGGTTGGACTAGAAGACCTCAAGCTATTTTCTAAAGCACCCGAAGGCCAGACAAGGAACAATGGATAGAAACTGAACAAGGAGAGATTCAACCTGGAAATAAGGAGGAATTCTCTGACAGGGAGAACAATCAACCCATGGAACAGAAGTTGCCCTCGGAAGTTGTGGGAGCTTCATCACTGGAGGCTTTTAGGAAGAGATTGGACTCCCATCTGTCAGAAATGGTGTAGGGTCTCCCGCTTGTACAGGGGGTTGGACTAGATGACCTACAAGGTCCCTTCCAACTCTGATTATCTGTATATCTGTGTATCTCCATTTTGCTTCAACTCATGTTTTTGAGCGTTCCAGGGGACAGACACCACTATGCTAAACCTCCAAGGTCCCTTCCAGCTCTATTTTGATTGAACTAGCTGGAATATTGCAGCCTATCATACATTTTTGAATTGCCCGCTCCTCCATACAAGACAATCTGAAAAGGAATACCGTGGCATGAAAAGGGACCCAATTAGCAAACCCTTCTTTTTTTTCAATCCTGATCTTTGTCATGAAGCAGAGCTTAAGACACCTTGAATCTCCCAATACCTACGCAAGGGTCCTCTTTGTATACTTCAGTTCAGCATTCAATACCATCATTCCAGACATTCTTCTAACTAAACTAAATCAGCTAGTAGTAGATAAACACACTTGTAAGTGGTTCTTAAGCTTCCTAACAGACAGGAAGCAGCAGGTGAAGCTAGGCAGAATCACATCTGATACCTGTATAATTAGCACAGGGCCCCGACAAGGCTGTGTGCTTTCTCCACTTCTCTTCTCCCTATATACCAATGACTGCATCTCAAACGATCCATCTGTTAAAATACTGAAGTTTGCAGATGACACAACAATGATTGGTCTCATTCAAGACAACGATGAATCTGCGTACAGATGGGAGGTTAAAAAACTTGCCTCGTGGGTGTAATCAGAACAATCTGGAACTGTACCCACTCAAAACCATAGAAATGGTGGTAAGACTTTAGGAGAAACCCTCCCAGACCACCACCTTACAATACTAAACAACACAGTATCAACAGTAGAGACCTTCAAATTTCTAGATTCTATCATATTCCAAGACCTAAAATGGACACCTAACATCAAAAACATCATCAAAAAAGCACAGCAAAGAAGGTTCTTTCTGTGCCAACTCAGAAAACTCAAACTGCCCAAGTAGCTGCGGATACAATTCTATAGAGGAATTATTGACTCTGTCATCTGCACCTCTATAACCATCTGGTTTGGTTCTGCAACCCAATACGACAGACACAGACTTCAGAGAGTAATTAGGACTGCAGAAAAAACAACTACTACCAACCTGCCTTCCATGGAGGACCTCAAAAAGGGGGCTGTGAAAATATTTACAGACCCCTCATATCCTGGACATAAACTATTTCAACTCCTTCCCTCAAAACGATGCTATAGAGCACTGCACACCAGAACAACTAGACACAAGGACAGTTTTTCCCCTGAATGCCATCACTCTGCTAAACAAGTGATTTCCTCAACACTGTCCAACTATTGACAAAGTCTGCACTACTGTTACTATTAATCTTCTCATCACTCCTTATCGCCCATCCCCTCCCTCTTGTGACTGTATGACCGTAACTTTGTCGCTTGTATCCTTACGATTTGTATTGACTGTTTCCTAGTATGATTTGATTGCTTATTGTACTCTATGACTATCATTAAGTGTTGTACATAATGATTCTTGACTCTCGATGAAGGTATCTTTTCTTTTATGTACACTGAGAGTATTTGCACCAAAGACAAATTCCTTGTGTGCCCAATCACACTTGGCCAATAAAGGATTCTATTCTATTCTGTTCTGTTCTAAAAGTCCAAAGCCAAAGGAAGAAAGGCCCTCATTCTGCCGATGTCCCACCTTTGCAGAGCCCACCAGGCTGCCATTCAGGTAGGCTGAAACGGTGCAGATCTGCTTTGTTTCTTTTGCCACAGTCACAGCAAGATGATGCCACTGTCCCGTCACGAGCAGAGGAGCACATCTGAACTGAACTTGGCACAGGAGAGAGGTCTCATCTTCAAATTCAGGTACCATTGCGTCTGTATTGTCACAAAAAATGGAATAATTTGCCACATTATAGTGAAACCAAAGGCAAAAGTTTTACCACAAGACCTGGGAAAAATGTGTGGGCCAGATGGTGACAGAGTCTCTAGAAAAATAAAATTCCTTCCCTTTTGAACACTGGAGGGCTACTTTTTGGATGTCAACCAAGGACAGCCCCAAAGCACACAAACGCGCACACACCCAAACATCCCAGGCAATGCCTTTCCAAGTAAGAGCAGCCACTGACAAGGCTTCTTCTGTCTAGATAGAGTTTGGATTTAGAGGAAATTGGGACCTGATGAGGGCAGAGGATCTTTTCGGTTTCTCCATTCCAAGATAATTAGGGATTTGGATTCAAGTCCTAAAAGGGCTTTCGCAGAGAGGCACGGAAGCAGCACCTGGGCGGAACTCTTTACATAGCGGCTCAGGTGCAGCTGCTGGCAAAGGATGGGAGGCGGGTGCCAGGCTTGGGCTCACTCCAAAGGGAGACCCGGTGGTCTTGAAGCAAGCCCATCGTATGCTCTGACGGTCTAGGGACAGGAGCAAGTGCCGCTTCCACAATTGGACCTTGCAAAAGGGCTCAATGCAGCCCTGGGAGAGAGAGAGAGACGGGGGGGGGGGGGGGGAGAGAGAAAGTGCATTACTGCAATCGGAGCAATGACCAGGAATGGTTCATTCAGTCCCTTCATGGAATGAAGGACGGGCATCATGTGCTCCAGAAATGCCCTCGGAAAGCAGCTCTCCAACCACTGAAGGGCTCACTGAAGCTTCAGGTATTTGCTTGGCCGTGCCTTGACTACAGAACTGCAAGGAGACCTAACACAGGGTTTGAAAAGCCCGTGGCTGGTGCATGTATGTATGCCTGTGTTGAAGAACGGAAGCTGTTTTCTGGGCACAACTTCAGGGGTTGGTTTTAATCTTCCAAGAAACTCAGGGCTTGAGGACGTTGCGTTTTCTCCACCTTGGGCCTTCGTCAGCCTGCTTTCCCGGAGGCCGTTCATGGGGCCTCTGGCCCTGAGACCCTTACCCAAAGCCTCGAATGCCACTTCCTCCGTCGAGATGGTGAGACAACCTTCTGGGGGAGAAAACCTCACAGCAAAGCAAGCAAAGGCTTCTTCGGTTCTCGCCATGTGACGCATCAAGGTAAGGAAACGCAGCGGGTGGTAGTCACAAGCAGAACACATCTTGTTGATCAGGAACCAGGAGGTGAAAGTGAGGCCATCTGCTGGGGGGAACCGCCGGATGCCTAAGAGGGCAGAGAAAGGGATGAAGCAGGGACTGCCCAAGCCAGGGGGAAGAAGGCTCAAAGGACACACGGCCCCGTAGAAAGGGTGGCTTCACCACATGGACCGCTTCCACTTTGGCACAGGAGGAGCAGAGCGTATGGCGGGTACATCCAGCTCGTTCTATGAAAACTAAGCCTTTCAAAGCCTTGAATCAAAAATAAACTCTCCAATGAATTCGCAAAGTTTTTAGGTCCAGACAATGATCTCCAAGGGTTATTGCTGATCCCATGATCTCAAGGGGAATCACTGAACAACTTACATATATCCCCACAGCAGAGGTGGCCTTCAGCAGCAGGTTCTGACCAGTTCCGGAGAACCAGTAGTGGACATTTTGAGTGGTTGTCACGTACCACCTCAGACTAGAGATTTTACCTGCCACACCCACCAAGCCACACCCACAGAACCAGTAGTAAAAAAATTTGAATACCACCACTGCCCCACCCACAGAGCGATACCCACATAGACTTTATAAACACTACACGCGCACACACACACACACACAGAGATACACATAAACATCCATCTATACGTACACAATCTGATTATAACCTAGGCCTCAGGCCTTCAGACCTCTGAGACATACATGAACTGCTCTCCACAGCATTATGGCCAACATTTTGAAGACAGTATTTTAAAAATCTACCTTTTCCAGTTCCTCCCAAGACGGACCGTTCAGTGCTTTGGCCTAGAATGGTGGCCATACTTGGGATAAACAAACAACTGCAAACACAAGAAAATAAAAAACAGTAATAGGCGCATTTCTTTGTGAAGGAATAGAAATAGACATAAATGATTATAAACTTCCCCAACAGAAAGCTAAATCTCTCTCTCCCAATGACTCCTGAATCATCCCCTTCCTTTCTGTAATCCCTCTGATTACTCAATAGAAATGTCAGATACATCTTTTGAAGAGTGGCAGTTCCCCACTCTACAGTTTCACAGATAATGGTGCCGTGTGAAATTTTAAATGAAATACTCCAATTTACTTCTCAAAGCAGACAATTCCCCCACCCCCAGTTTTTACCCAAGGCGAAGGCCCTGTGTTGTTTCGCAGCTCTGAAGCCCCCTCGGCCTTTTCCCACAAATGGGCCCCCAAGAAAGAAGAGCCTCCATGGTCCGGGGGGGGTTCCCTTCCATGGGTGGGGCAACCTTGGAGCGCTGGCCAGAGCTACCAAGATTGGAGCTGGCTCTGGACCAGATTTGGCAAGAACGGCAGTCAGGAGAAGGCCAGCGCACGGGCACAGCACTTGCCAAGAGGGCGGAAGGTAAACACAGCACACCCTGGAACCTGCACCTGGGAGAGGATCCCACGGGGGGGAGGGGGAGGGTGGACCATCCTCTCCTGGGCGCTGGGCAGCCTTGGTGAACGCCGAAGCTCCCCCAGGGGTTGGTGAGGGTTATGACAGCCCCGCAATGTGTTCTCGACATAGTGAGGCCGGACACACACACAGAGACACACAGACTTAGGCAGAAGAAAAGGTCTTCTAGGTTGGGTAGCTCCACCGACTCCACTCATAAGGCCTCTAAATGGGAGCGCGCACCCATTCTTCAGCCACCGCGGAGTAGCTAAATTGTTTGCTATTCATCCCAAATAAACAGCAACTGCACTAACCGATATGTTGCCTAACATATTAGGTAACAAACCTAAAATATTTTGTTTAGCTAGCCTGACCGTTCAAAGATTGACACAGTGTTTATTTTGTACTTCTCTGGATTCTGCCATCCCATGTTCCCTGTTCCCCTTTATAGCAAAATGTGCATTAAAAGTTGCATAATTACATCCGAACACATGAGGAAGTGATATGAACTGACTGACTTCCTTGCTGTTTAGTAATAGTTATTCAGTATTGTAACTGCAAGAGCTACAAAAAATATTATTTCCATCTTTTAAATGAAATTCAAAGGGCTACATAATTTGACACCCATCTGGTACCATTTCATCCCTGAGGTTATATGTAACTCCCACCCTCCACCTTAATGGGCCCCACCAGTGATCCAAATTTTGCCGGCAAAATATGTAGTTCTCCCCTTAAATACGTGGGGGGTGGGGAAATAATATTAACTATACTTAAATGTAAGTGTTCGAAAATTTAATTAAGGTCAAATTACATTTTATCCTATCCCTACTCAATCCTTCATCTTAATCGTACCCTTTCAGCGAGGGGACCTCCCCAGACCACACTCAAAAATACAACGATCAGCTCAAAGCAATTGTGCATCTCTGGCCTGCACTAAGCAGCGTTGGCTCAAAACACGTTAAGGAGGACATGTATGTAAACAGCACTAGGTATTTAAGGATCCCCTCAATGACTTAACAAGAGGGGTATTTCCTTGCATGTTTCCCATTACACTTTACAGAACTATGAGCAATAATGAAAAGGGAAAATGAGAAATCTCTGTCTGTGAAATTGCCGTGAACTACATTTGTTATCTAATTTGCCCCATAAATGGGCAATATACCTTCAGATGACAAAGAATAAGGTATCTAAACAACATGATTGATCGATCGATCGATTGATTTTTGAACTAGACTCTGCAGAACCAAAGGCAAAAGATCTGGAGGCTGAGATGAGGAAGGTTGCAAGGGGAAGCCGAAGAGCCTCCTAAATTACCCGTATCCTTCGAGGGACATGTCAAACTCCACAAAGGAAGGGGCCAGGCAGGCACTGTGCAGATGCAGGCTGCGTGGGCTTATCAAGGAAACGAGGCTCATGGCCGTCTGGAGAGCCATTGCAGAAGACTCCGGGGGGTCAGAGCTCAAGCAAAGCGTCTCCTTTGGGCTCTCCTTCCACGCAGCTGTTCTAGGACCTAATACAAGAAACATACCAAGTTAGTGACACTGCGGCAGGTTCCAAACTGGGAACTTTGAGAGGCAAGGCAGAAAGAAGAGAAGTAACGAGAAAAACGTCAAACAGGCACCCCACAGTTGAGAGTTGAAAGCTTCGTTCAGCACCCTCATAATTTCAAATGGTCCCTGAACGAACGGATGTTAAGTGAGGTCTGCCTGTATTGACTTTTTCAACTCAGGCAATAGAGAATATGTCCATCCCCTCTGCCCTCTGAGAATTCTTCATGTATTTGAACACTACTCCCACACGCCGCAACCTCGATCATCTTTTTGTAGACTAAACAGACCTTTTAGCAGTTTCTCGCAGGGTTTGGGTTGCAGGGTCACCATCTTCTGGGCTGCCCCCCTCTGGGCTCGATCCAATTCCTCTCTGCCACACCTGTGCTTTTTAGGAGCGATGGGAAGGGGCATCATCCGTAGGCACAGGAATTGCCTGAAAGAGATCGAGCGAAGGACAAATGTCCCACGGCAAAGGAAAAGGAAGGCCTGGATGAGGCAGCTATGCAGGAGGTGCATGGCAGAGGTCAGGGGGGAGGTCCTAGAATTGCCCCAAAGTCTTCACTGCATGTTCTGAGGCTGCTGGAGGCCCTGGCCAGGGTCTCTTGAGCACAGGAGCCTTGGAAGATGCTGCCACAAGTTTTAGTGGAGTTTCAGAGCCTTACCAGCTGCATCTCTGCAGCACGTTACCAACACGGTACTCCACGGTGAAGAAAAAGAAAATAAGAAATAGCAACTACTATGCGAGATGCGTTGGACATGTTCGCTGCCTTGAGCCACTTGTGCAAACAATAAAGACAGGGTACAAACATATCAATGAATAGGTCAGCCCTGAAGACACCAGCCAGAGCTGCTGGGGAGACATTTGGGGACCCAAGTCCTGAAGCCCCAGACTGCCCAGCAGGTACTGGCTGTGATACCCTGACACGTCACCTTAAGACCTCGGGCTGAATGGACTGGGAGGCGAGCTTCTCGAAGAGCCGGATCAGAGGCGGGTGGAGGGGGCTGCTGGCATCGTGCAGGACTTCCGGGCAGGAGCGGGTGAGGCTGCCCAGCAGGCCAGCTGCACAAGCCCCTTGGCGGTTTTTCTCCAAGCCCATCAAGGATTGAATGTGGTCAGCCACAGCGAATTGGATCTCCAGGGATAACTGAAACAAGCCAAGGCAGGCATGAGTGGAGGGCAACTAGGAACCGGCAGCCATAACAGACACAGAGAAGCCCTGGGTCACTGCAGAAATCAGACGTAGGAACCCCGGGTGGTCTGGCTACAAGGCACAGTGAATAAATAAGGTTACAAATAGCATATAAAATTTCCAAATGCTCATTCATTGCTCCATGTTCGATTTTATTGAAATTAGTTGCCTCTTCGTGTGTTATCTCCATTGTACGCTAATTTTTAGTGGAGAATTTTAGAGTTACAAGCTGGGCTGCTGAATATTTAATTTGTGGTTGATATTAGCACACATGTTCACAATTAGAAATTAGAAATAGGGGGGCATCTGAATTCACCTTTGTATATGATATTAATGTTTATAAAATACAACAGACAGGAAATAAATTCAATTTTTAAATGAAAAAGGCTGAGATAACAAATATGATTCGATAAGTCAAACACAACAGCAGAATACGTTCGGAGGTGTTTATGTTCAATGTTCCATAGTATGCTGTCTCCAAAAGGATGCTAGGTAGGTTGAAAATCAAGATCAATTAATTAGGTAACAATTAAGTTGCTGGATGCGGTGAGTTCTCCTTCCCCACTTTAGGCATGAAGAACCAGCCAGGCCGGTCACTGTTTGTCAGCCCACCTCACAGGGTTCTTGTAGGGAAAACAGGAGGAAGGAGGAGTATCGGGTACCTTCACCCCGAAGTTGTATCTGAAAAAAGGCAGTATAAAAACTGAAAGCAAACAAATAAGTCAAGTTTGATTTAGGTTTCTAAATAGGATAAAACCGGGTCCTATTTCCCAGGGAATGAAAGGGGAATAGAGGGTGATGGGTGACGTCTGTCATATTCTTCTGATATCCTTGACTCAACCTGGGTTGCTCAGAGCAGCGGACTCCAACCTGGGCCTCTTTAAGACTTGTGGACTTCAACTCCTGGAAAAAGCTAGCTGAGGAATTCTGGGAGTTGAAGTCCACAAGTCAGGAAGGGGCCACCGTGGTCCACCCACCCGTGACCCAGAGCATGTCTTCCGTTGTAGGAAGGTAAGCATTCTGGCAGCTAAGCGGAAAACTGGTAACTTGTGCCAATTAGAAAGAATTGCTAGTTTAAAACTTGGGAAAGTAGAGAATATGCAGAAACTAACTGAATACATGTTTTAAAGAAAAAATGGAGATAGTTATGGCCATCTTCATACTAATTTAACTGGTGGGGGCGGGGGATCAACTTGAATTTATTTAGTATATAAATAAAAATTGTGCCAAGAAGTATAGAACTATAATAAATGGGGTAGTTTGGGCAAATCTGTTTGCTAAAATTATAAACCTGAAAAATAAAACAATGGCATTATGGGATATCCGGCACACACGCGATCAAGCCGAGATGAAAGTCGGGCACGTTGTTCTCTGCTCAGCCTAAGACCAGCAGCGCAAGTGTCTGTCCATGTTTTAGCCCTGATCCTGCTTGAGAACCAAGGAAATGGGAGGGAGGGATACCTAAAGGCCTGCCGTGCCGGTTCCTCAGTCCTCTGTGACGGGCTTTGGATGGATCATGGCCAGCACCAAGCCAGCTCAGACCTGCCTGAGTGAAGGAGCGAACGCTGTCACAGGGACCGTTTCCATTCAGGGCCATTTCCTCCGGGTCCCTTCAGTCGGGGCTGCAAAGGGCTCTCGTGAACTGGGGCCTCTAATTCACCAGCAATTGAGAAAGTGTCGTCTAGATTTTCTAAGTAGACCGTAATGCCTTTTGTACCTTAAATATTGCTCTTCCTAATAATAATAATAATAATTTATTTCAGCAAAAAAGCAAGGTTAAGGGGAAGAATGACACCGCTCAGTAAATCCGCATTGCCCTCACAATTCAATAGAGAGCCATAATGGAGTACAAGGAATTGATTGTTCGCATTATGACAGCAGTCCTGCCAATAATGAGATTGCCTTGTTTTGAATAAAATGTGCCGTTTTCAGAGATGCTCGTTCCAGGAAAAAAGGGTTTTAGTGAAAAAAAATTAATGGTGACAGGAAAGTAGTCTCTGTTTCCCCAGCTGTTATGGATTGGTTTCCCTGCACATCCCTCCCGGAGTCTGACAGGGGCACAGGAGATGCAATTACAATCAGCAAATAAGCCCACAACTTTGCGTCAGGATGAAGTCCGAGGGCAAACATGTCAGTCGGTCCACCCACCCCACGCCTGCCCTTCCTGTCTCCTCTCACCAGCCGACTCCATACTTGGGAGTGTCTTGCAGATCACACCTGGTATATAACTTGGGCTGCAGATGAGGATGCTAATATTCAACTGCATATTTCTTTGTTTTGTAGTTGGGTGGCTTTATTTATTTAACTAAATAAATAAGTATTAAGTGAATGTGAATACAGATGAAAGAGGGCACTGTAAATAGGAGGGGTGCAGAATAGATTTCTTTTTTGCTTTCATTTTCCTTCATTACTTTTCTCTTTTGCATAATACTATTTATTTTGAAAGGAATAATGAGTATAATGCCAGGCTATGCTATATAATCTCGCCTGCATGAAGTTGAATCTCCCCCATGGGCCTCCCTCCGTTGTCCCCTGTTGTCTTACCTCAGGGCAAGCTTCACTGTAGAGTTTGCCCATCAACGTCACCATGACACAGAGGGCTCCAGGACACACAATCACTGAGTCCTCCCCTCGTGGCCTTCAGAGAAAAGACAAGGGGAAAAACACCTGTGGCATTTCTGGACACGCAAGACAAAAGAGCAGAAACCAGGCCCGAGAGTGGGAACTTCTCTCTCATCCATTCCTGCATCAAAACAGGAAGGCCAATACTTCTGGCAGGGGAGGAAAATTTGCAACCTCCTTGGGGCCAAGGGTACCCCCCCCCCAAAAAAAGAAGGCCCTCCCAGACACCCTCAGGAAAGCTAAAGCTCCACAATGCATTTTCCCTCGGGAGAGACAGGGAAGGAACAAGTTTTGTGTTTCAGATCTTCCTTCCTTGAAGCAGGGAAAAAAACCAAACAAACTGATTCTGTGGTACTCTGTAAGAATTGGCTTGCATTTATTTCATTGGGTCTGAATAGAAAGGCTGATTTCCTCCAGGTTACCAAAGAAGGCATTCTGATTTGAGATCTCAGTTTTTCCAACATTTCGAGAAGTGTCTGCTTATTTGGAACTTCCACACAACAAAATTAATGAATGGAACTTTTAATTGCCTCTTCCCCCCCCCCCCCATAATTTTGTGAATGAATTATGGCTCCCAAGGTGAAAGAAAAACAGCAAAGAGAGAAAGAACGTTCCTATGAGAAATTATTTTGAATCAAAATTGTTGGTCCTTATTTGACTTGTTATGGACTGCTAAATATTGGCTATTTCGCCATTTAGAGCCAACTTTAAATATCTATAATTTTGTTAATGAACAGTCCATCTGTGCAATCAAAGACTTCCCATATATCTATGGGAAGATATATGCAGCTGAATCTAAAAAAGAAAAAAAGGCGGCGGGGGGTGGTGGTCCTCAAGAAAAGATTACACACTCCGGAGACTTAAGCAGTGCACAAGAAAGAAACTCCCATAATAATCCCATCTTAATTTTAATTAGTAGAAACTTGGACAGGCTGCCAGGAATGATGGGGGGGGGGTCTCCTTTTTGACCTCACCTACATCAGGGGGCTGAGAGGGGCTGAGAGTCCAGGGAATCTCCACCTGAGCAATTTTATGATGTGTAGATGTAACCCCGGCTGGGGAATTCTGGCAGGTGAAATCCATGCGTCTTGCCAAAGTGAGGGACACTAATTTAGATTGGTATGCATGTATAATTTCACTTATAATTAAGCATTATTTGAAAGCAGAAAGATCCAGAAGGCTGTGAAAAAAATGCCAGTCAGTTTGATTGGAGCTTCATTTACACATGAATTGGAATGAACTTCCGTGGGGTTCAGAATCTAAGTCCAGCTGCAAGCCACCCTTTCGTCCTATCCAGGGTGTTCTTCAAACCACTTTTCTCTAAAGGAAAATACTTTAGAAGAGGAGCTGCTGGTGGCAAGTGATAGCAAAGAAAATTTGTCAATAACCTCCTTTGCACTTGAAATAATTGTGCCCCTTCCTTGTGACTAACACAGGTATACTTAGGTCTGCTATTAACATTAAATCATTTGAACTTGTCTTCTAGGTAAACCCACATTGCAATGATCTATAAATGTCTACACTTGTGAAAATCTAGTCCCCAATATGTGTAAGAAATGGGATAATTAGAACATCCAAATTAGCACTTCTGACTTTCTATATCATAACCATCAACGGCCTACCTGCTCTGGGGTTCCGGCTGCTGGACGGCAGCCACTTTGTTAGGCTTTCTATGGTCCCAAAGATTTCCTGGAGAATCTTCTTGCAGATTTTCTGTCCCATCCCAAATGCCCAGTATGGGAGGATCTGTTTCTTCCAAGCAGCTCTGGAGGTCGAAGGGGTTCATCTTGGCCATGGAGTCCAGGAAGCTGAATATCCTGGTGCAGCTTCTTAGCCCAGGTGGGAAAAGCTCAGGGGAGCAAACAGCTGTATCTGAAAGCTCAACAAAGGATCGAGGTTTGTTGATCTGCCTAGGAATTTGTCCCCATCTTTGTGCTGAAAAGCAGCCAAGCATGCCAAGGTCCTCCGCCATCCTCTCAAAGAGGCCGTTCTTCTGGAAGAAGTCCTGGTTGGCGGGGTCCAAGTGCAGAGCGGCTGCCATTGTCTGGAGGATGCGTAGGATCAGCCCTAGTATGTGGCTGTGATCAAAGGAGGCCCAGGCGCCCAAAGGCGGATCCTGCAAGGCGCCTTCCATGTCGGCCAGAAGGGAAAACAGCCCGTTGAAGCCACCGCTGGTCCTGAAGGCGGAGCGACCCTTGGGGCTCACCAGGGTCTTCAGCAGAGACTAGCGTTGGAGACAAAGGGAAGAAGAACTCATCACCCACTGCACCCACTAGAAAGTTTACGAAGAACAGCAGCCGGCTCCAGAAGGAAGCTGGTCTTGACCAAAGTCCTTCAAATGAAGACTTTGCTAGGCTAAAGATGAATCATTCCCAGCCAACCCTTCAGTGGAAAGTCGGTTTTTCAACAACGCGGGTACCATCATGGTAGAAAAACAACACCTCCTGGTCTCGGTTAGGCACCGGAGGCAGCTTCTCCTTAAAGGCTCCCTCAAACAGGTTGACTCGGGTCAGCATAGGTGGCCCTGCAGCATCCACACACAGTATTTATTTGCCTGGGATTCTATACATAATAACAAGCATTTTGAATTGCGCCTGAAAACCTACCAGCAACCAATCCATAAGAAGCCTTAGGCCCAATCTTGGGCCTTAAAATAGGGTTTTTTATGATTGCAGTGGCTAGGACCAATCAAGGAGCTGACTTTTGAGCTGACAATGGCTTATGGGCAGGCTTCAAAGACAACTCCCTGTTGAAGGCTTTGCAGTAGTCTAATTGCATGAAGTTAATGGCTTGAGTCATTATAGCCAGGACTTTGGGTCCATACAATGTCAGACCACAAGCTACAGCTACCACATCATAAGACAAAACGAATTATCCTTTCATCACAAGGCACCATGGGGGCGCAGTGGTTAGAGTGCAGTCCTGCAGGCTACTTCTGCTGCCTGCCGGCTGCCTGAAATTTGGCAGTTCAATCCTGACCGGCTCAAGGTTGACACAGCCTTCCATCCTTCTGAGGTGGGTAAAATGAGGACCCAGATTGTTGAGGGAGCAACATGCTGACTCTGTAAACCGCTCAGAGAAGGCTGTAAAGCAGTGTATAAGTCTACGTGCTATTATTGCTATTGCTATCTGGTCATACCTTTTCAGAGTAACATGCTTTATCAGAAGGCCTAGTCTTTGGTGAACTAAAGCTCCCTTCATCAGAAGACTGTCTTTTGTGGACTAAGGGGGATGTGACCTATGTGTTTGCCTGTATAAGAGCTTTTAATTTTTTGAAGTTATGTGATTTCAAAATGCCATCCTCTACAAACTCCTCTCTGATTCCACCGATTCCGCCCCTTCTTCCCCCTTGCACGCACCTGCCTACCTTCTTCATCCTCCAAAAGAGGGGAGGGGGAGGGGTGCCAGAGACACAAGGAGGAAACTGAGTTACTGCCATTCAGTTTGCATGCTAATGTATCACACCAGGCAGCAGCTCCTGAACAGGCCTAAACCTAATAAACCGGACCTTGATGTATCAGAATGGCTTTGACACAATCTGGAGAGGTCAGGCGTAACCCCATTTCTTGCGGCTCTAACTCTGTTACAATTTAATTGTCTATTCTTCTGGCTTTAATCTGTAACAGGCCTGCCTGGAGTGGAAATCCCTAACTAAGTTATAGCTAACAGAATTTATTTCTGCATGGCTCTCTTCGTTATTCCTCATAATTGCCCACCGCCTGCCGCTCTGGAACTCTACAGCACTTGCACTTGGGGTTTAACAGCTAAATATAAATTAGCAAATCAATCTGAATTTGAACATAATATAATCATGATCCCAAAGGCTACAGCTAGTAAATTCATTCTCTTATATTATGTATTAATATAGTTATAATTTGTCAGAATTAGGCATCAAGGCTGCATTAGTTTTTATATCAGTTCAGGCAAGCAGCAAACTTAGCCATAAGAAGAATTTTAGATTAGCCGTAGCTGTGGCAGCCGCCTTCTCTTCACTGGATGGAAAGTATCCATGGGGGGGGGGGGGAGTTACTTCCTCCCTCCCTCCCTCCCTCCCTCCCTCTCTAATGCAGGGGCTATGGCTTTAAATTTTTCCCCTGCAGCCTTCTAGGGAAAATGGAAAAGGAATAAAAAGAACCAGGAGCGTACAAGAAAAATGTTCATCAATGCGGTTCAAATTATTCTGAGCAAAGACTCTGGAGGTGGAATCCCTCCCAGAACTAATCATTCAGCAATAAGAGATTCTGTACAGAAACTGCCTCTATTCACATTTCCTCAGGAAACCAGACTTGCGTCCAAATTATTTTCCCTGTCAGTAGGTATCATGGACTAGAAGTAGCATCAGCCTCTACGTGGGTGAACTTACTTAAGGTAAATTACTTTCTGCTGGATGTTACATCCTGCTGGATGATTGGACTCTTGAAAAACTCCTCTCAACGGGTGCTATTTTCTTTATATAATTATATATATAATTAGGTTTATAGCAATACCAATGCATTCAGACTTCTCTACCGCCCCATATTGCTTTACAGCACACTCTGGAAAGTTTACAGTGCCAACATCTTGCACCCAACAATCTGGGTCCTCATTTTACTGTCTTAGGAAGGATGGAAGTCAACCTTGAGCCAGTCAGGATCAACTCCTGGCTGTGGGCAGAATTAGCCTGTAATACTGCATTTTAACCACTGCACCAGCATGGCTCTTATCCCAAACATGAGAAGTTAAATCTAACTTCCTAACTGTTTACTATGTACTTGGTTAATTAATTCTGTTTTGCATTTTGCCTGACACACTCACCCTCTTCACAACCTAATCAAATTGTCATTATGAACAACCATCTCTACATAAAGCTTTTAGTGCAATATGGCAATAGAGTATTATATTAAAAATCTGAGATTCTACTAATCGGTTACTAACTGCTCTCTTTCTATGGCTTCTTCCTTAGATTTAAGAGTCTCCTGCCCAAGAACAGACACATGGAAGGTCACAGATCAAAGGGCCTCTTTACTAACTTCCTGTTCTTCACTGTGGCCCAATGGATCCTGTGGAAATTGGACAAGGAGGTCATGTCCCCGAGAGCAGCCTCCTCTTCTTCTCTACCACTTCATATTTGGAGGCCTCCTGATAACGGTAGATGGAAATAAAAATAGCCACACCAGCTAAATCTTCTCTCTCTCCTCCAATAATCATTCTCATCTTATTTTAAGCCTTCTTGGCCTTATAAAAGCTCCAGACTGGGATCCCTGAGGACTGTATCAAGCCTTGGCTGTTCATGAGGCCACTGAAAAGGATAATCGCTCTTGAGGGTCTTCGCCTGTGATCCCTTTAATGGACCGTTGACCTCCTTTAGGTAGTTATTGACCATTGCAGCAGCAGGAAACTTTTTAGAGGCCAAGAAACGTATCCGATATTGGATCGTATCTTCAGGGACAGCACTTGCCCGATGCGCAGGCACACCTCATTCACCGAGAAATCTCTTTGTGCAAACCCCTGATCCCTGCAGGATCTACTAGAGATTTTAGAATGGGTACCCGCCCACCCTCTTTGGGAAGATTTTCATGGAAGGCAGACATGTCACTTCACAAGACAACCCACTCTCAGGCAGGACTTACGACCAGGTAATTCTTCCTAATGGCCAATAGTATTTTCAGTCTTCAGTTGGAGTCAGTTTTAGGGTTTTCTATAGACTCTATAGAGTCAGCTTTCTATATTTCCATAGTTCAGAATTCCCTCTGATTCATGGCCACATAGAGGAACAAAGCCCAATCGTTGATTTTTTTCCCCCCAAATAAGATAGATCTTGGCATTTACTTTTCCTTACTTTAAGTAGATCCAGCTTGAAGTGTAGTTCACCCTGAGTAGAGGAGCAGAGAGCCCCAACAATGGAGCTCATGTACTCCTCAGGGTTGACGATGGACAACTGCTCCAGGATCTTCACGGCGTCTCTTCGGTACAGCTCGCTATCCACATAAATCTTGATGTAGGGCACCATGCCGTAGTCCCTGAGAATCACTGAGAAATCACACATATAACTTGCTATTAAGCCATGTTCTAAGCAGAATCCGAAGGATGGTCACTTGATGACAATAATTTCAAAGATTATTTTATAATATATGACTAGATTCATAGATCAGTTACAAGAATAATTACATTTCATTGACAGGTACAATGAATGCAGCATTGTACGAAAGGCTTAAGGCTTACGTGAAATCTTAAGATATTTATTCCCCCACTCCTGAAAAATTGGTGTTGTTAATATATGCCAAAGTTGTGGTGCTGCCTCCTTCTCAACCTTTTCCTCCTTGGAGTAAGCCACCGTGGCTGATGCTGCTGTGGCCACCCTGTTAATACTTCCAGAGTATTTAGCTCTGGGGTCCTGAGGATCCCACAGTTCTTTGTAGACCACCTCTGCTCTTCCCCTCTTGCTGTGTGAATTCTTTCCACTGAAAGATGGGGAAAGCATCTCTGGATGGGCTGCCAGGGCCATTCTAATGTCCATGAAAATGTTTTCAATTCTGCCCCTCTTTCAAGGTGTTTTTTTTTTTT